CGTGATTTGGAACCTTTGAGTCGTAGGCTTCTGGGAACACGTCAGAAAAACCGAATGGAAGACCACCTTTCTGTCCTTGCTATGGTACGTATATGTGAACGCAGTTGGACGTGAATTTGAGACAGCATCCGCCCACTTTTGAGTGATAAATATCACAAGTAGTTCAGCCGATAAGAATAAGTTTAGCATCAGGATAAATTCAAACCAAGAGAAACGCATAGTCTCTTTCTTCTTTGTTATTGCAAATCATTCCCATTGAACATTAATTGGATTTTTACCGATCGTAACGAAATTTCACTCATTGCCATGATTTGCTTTGTAACCAATCCATGAATTCCCCGGAGAGCCGTCTTTAAACATATACTTTTTGAGAAAGGCCAATCTTAAATGGAACATTTTCACACTCTCTCAAACATCAACTTGATCGGCTTCTGTTCGTACTTCATTGGACAGAAACTAGGGCAGGTTAAGCGTTGTTTAGTCCAAGCATCCTTGGGGCATATGCCTGTCTCGATATGAAGAAAGTGGATCCAATTGTCTATTGTGAAAAATTAATGCTCTAATGTGCATTGTTGTGTCACAGCTATTCCACCAATCTGCCATGGGAATTGACATCTAGCCTATTCTTGCTGATATATTCATGGGGAATTTAGGAGAAAACCAGACGAAATGTTCAATTGAAGACGCCAGTTTTCACACAAGGTAAATGAATGATACATTTGCAAGAATATAAATTTTATTCATACAGTTTTCTAAAGTTCCAACAACTCACAGCATCGAAACGTTTCTTTCTCAATAGAATTTGAGCTTTTTTGGTATACAGCTTTTAGCGAGTGATCATATTGAATAATTAACGTACTTCAAGTAAAGTCATGGGAATTTAATTGAATTTTTGATTTTTCCGGTGGGAACATCATCACTCACTGAGAAATGCAGGTACATCCAGATGACGAGACCCAAATAGGACGAAATGCGCATCCTGGATTCCACTGCCAGTCACCATCCACCAACTTAAGTCATGGGAAATTAGCAGCATTATGTAATGTAGGCGGCTTTGTCACATTTCAAATGAAGAATAAAGATGGTTGATATTATATCAATGACTAATTCTTTTCCTATTAGTTTCGATACGAAATACCAATAATCCTCCTTTTAAGGTTGTTTAAACAACTATGCTAACTACCTAACATGTGAAGATGAGTACATGGATGAAGCTACTCTAGAAACAGATTAAAATAATTTACGTAGAGATAATTACTTCTGCTTTATATATACTCATCTATGATTTCAAAGAACGTCAGTACAACTGAACTATTTAAATAATTAATGATCGGGCTCAAACAATAAATCCTAATAAGGTGATCGTATGCAGATTGATTTACTCTTTATTCATCTCAAATGTGACACAGGATTCTTCAAGAGACCACATAAGGATGTAAAAGATTCATCACTTCGAGACAGAATTACAATCGCCTGTACCATCAAAAAGGAATCGTTCATCTTGTTACTCATTAAAACACAAACTTGGTACACTATGGGCACCAAGAGATGCTCCACAAAAGACCTCATAGTTTGTGCGATGACCAGGATACTGAGATTTTTTAAAATTACAGCTTGATTCCACACCGTATTTTTGGTTCAAGTATAGAATTTTCAGAATGTGATATCGGTAGCCCAAATTTTGCAGGCCGACCATAGATATCAGGTGTGCGTCAGCAGAGGATCGAACCTCGGACCATGTGCATGGTCGACGACAGTCCTAACCACTGTGCCGCCGACCCGGAGACCTAGACTGAAGATAGTTGTCTTGAAAAAGCCATCCACTTCCCGACCCTTCGATTCGAAGGCTGATTCGCAAGGTAGTGGGGCAACATCATGAACTACATTGCCATGGCTTCCGCTGACCACAACAGGTTCATAATCCATTGGAATTCTGGAGACCATATACACCATAGGTTTGGAATCTGTTTTCCAACTCGTTCAGGTAGAACTGTCCATGTCCATCAGTCCGGTTGTAGGTGCCAGACGTTAGCGTTCGCCCAGCCGCATAAAAGTACAGAGGCAGAGGCTATGAATACGCGTGGTAACATGAGAGCATTTCGAAGGGAAAACCGAAGTCTACCAACCTTCGAATGTACTAAGTCCTTTATAAGAGCCAAACAGATTCTTAAAGTTCTAATGAAGAATACTGCAATTAGGTGCGCTAGTAACCATGAGTAAGTTACAACCTAATGTTACACTATCATAACTGACAAAAAATATTAGAAGAATCAGCTACTCCAGTTGCACAATTAAAACCTTACACTTAAGGAAATTAAAATTGTTAATATCGTAACACCAAGCAGTATTATCTTAGATCGACATTTCTGATGACACAAAAAATAATATAAAACACAAAATAATCGAGCAAAGAATATTTTTTTCGATAAATTCCTCTTCTGGCTCTACAATTATATATATGTTTATATACATAGAATATTCTAGACTAGTAGTCAATAACAATATTAGTGATTTTTAAATAATATCGATTTAACTGATTAAAAATGCCCATTAAAATTTTCAAAAGAATGGATACTGAACAAAGAGTACTCTTTACGATAAATTCATCATCAGGCTCTACAGTTATACATACATTATAGTGAATGAATGAATTAGTGTTATGAACAACATTAATGCTGTTTAAATAGCATCGAATCAATAATATTGATAGATTACAGCTGAATCGCATCAACATAAAATAAGCTGAATGTCAGCAGAATTGGGAAGGATAACACTACAAATTCATGAGTTTATAGTTTCTACCGTGAGAATATTAAACGGTTGCTGAGTGAGAATGGTTATCCTGAAAAGTTTATTGATAAGAATATGAATTTGAAACCCAAAGCAGACGAAGTTACTAACAGTTCCAAAAAATGCCTTATTCTTACAGATGCAGTTCCTTGGTGACAACACTAGCGAGATACTAACACAGCGCATTATAAATGCGGTAAAACGAGCATTCCCGGATGCTGAATTACGTTGCATCTTTGAGACCACTCCTCTTCTGCGTTCGGGAGTAAAAGACAAACTGCCTAATTTCGCCTCATCCATGTGTATCTACCAATTTGACTGCTCCTGTGGAGCCAGTTACATAGGCCGTACAATTAGGCGTCTTTCTCGTCGAATTTCCGAACATCATCCTGTGTGGTTAAGCAAAGGTCAAACAAAATCTATTCGCAGCGCTATTCTGTCTCATCTTGTGGATACAAAACACAAGATTGACGTCAACCATGCTTTCAGGGTCATCTACCGCATACCTACGAATCTTAATTTTGCATGAAGATTTCGACTACTTAATATTGCTGAGGCTGCGGGGATCCACAATAACAAGCCTAATTTATGTATCCAAAAGAAGTCCGTTCAGACATTATTATTACCTTGGCCATCCAGGTTTGAAATATCCTCAATTTTTGTGCACTTTCCCTAATTTTAGTTGATATTCTATTCGCTATTATATTTTTATTACTATTATAATCTAAGTATTTTTAGTGAACTGTAATTGCATTGATCATACTTTACAAATCGATATTATTTAAAAAACACCATTAACTACACTATTAACACATTATTAACTATCAATCTTCAATTTTTTGTGTATATAAAGATATATAATTGTAGAGCCGGAAGAGAAATTTATCGGAAAGAATATTCTTTGCTCGATTATTTTGTGTTTTATAGATGTCTGAAAAAACAATATGTATATAAACAAAGGAGATAAGCAATAATTGACTTCTAAATCATAAAAGTACTTCATGGGATCATATATTTGCGCTTTGACAGTGTGCCTTCACTGAATATGAATGATAGGAAGGAATGAAGTAAAATTCGAGTAATTTACAACACTACACAAGAAATGAGAAGCAGGACGAACTAATTGAAGCTGAGTGGATCACAACATATTGTCAAATACGATTCTACTTTGTGAAAATATACATTAACAAAACGATAGCCTTTTTAAATAAAAGTTTATATCATTTATTGTGGAAAATGACTACAGACAGATCCCGACTGTCTTACCGACAGAATTCAATTCTTATTTACCGATTTTCTGGAGGCAATATGTAGATGCATTGTACTTTTTCTATAGAATAACTTGGTTTAGCCAAATCGAAACATACAAAAAAACTTAAATTGAACCTCCAACTAATGAGTACAAAAAGAACAACCCATCAACGCTATAACACAGTAGTAACCTTGAATCTGGCAATATTATCTATCTTTCAAGCATTGAAGACCTTGACGCTCTATACACAGTTATCCCTACCCTCCCTTGCACACACACACACACACTGAAGAACACTTAATCAATAGGAAAGTTAAGAATATACAATGTATAATACGAAAGGTTCACTCTACTTTTACTCGACATTGTTGAACATTTTCAGTCCTAAGGTTTATATAAAAAAAATTTCAAAATATTTTCAACCATCTGACGACAACAATAGAAAGAAAACAAAATACAAATAACGAAAAGTTAGAATATGTACATTAGTAGTAGTAGTCTGAAAAACTATTACGTAAAACTGCCTTCATAGTATACATACACAAAAAGAAGGGAAAAGCCATTGAAAATCAAAGGAGAATATATTAAGGAGATAAAAAAAAGCAATGAGGACACGATACGGGAGTGAATTTATTCCACTTCAGTAAAGAAATGTGTAATTACACTAAAAAAAAGAAAAGTGTATACTGATAGAAAACATTGGAAAAAAAAATCACACGAAATTATTTCAGTTTTTATGAATATAAAAACAAAAAGATAAGTAGAGGAGAAATTAGAAAGTCATTTTGTTAATTATGTACAAGGCGGTTATAATAATAATAATAATAATAATAATAATAATAATAATTACACACAAGAAGTATTATGATCATTGGCTGAAAGGAAGCTGATTGAGATTTAAGATATTGGGGTGTATCTGAGGTATATTTGTTTACCTCCCACCCCCTTTATCAAGTAATTAAGTCACTTTGCTATTGCTATTCCCCTCCTTCTGTTGGTTACTGTTTTTCTTTTTTTTCTTTGAAGGTGCTTTAATTGGTTTGTGTACTACTTCTAACGCACCTGTTGTTTCATTTACAACAACACTTAAACTATCTTTGGTATTACTTGAAGAAGGTTGTTGAACTTTAGATTTCCTTGAAGGTTGATTACGGCCACCTTGTGGTAATGTCCGTGGTTTCTATTGGAAAAAGAAAATACAAAAATAAGAGAACACATTTAATAGCAAGTGTTTATATGAGGAGTAATATCACATGCATTCGTTTTCAAAGTACAATAAATGGCACTTATCTCAGTACATCTGTCAAGGAACTTATCCCTAAGTTCCTATTGTTACGAAGACGCTCCGCACCGATAAATACTATGTACTTTCTTTGACTTTAACTCCAAAACACCAGTATTATAAGAAGGAAGTTATATTGTTTGGCAATTAAAGTAGAGAACAGCACATAGTATTTACCGGTGCGTCTTCGTAACAATAGGAACTTAGCGATAAGTTCCTTGACAGATTTTATTCGTTTCTGTACGTCTTCGTCGAACTTGTACACGATCGAACCATTCGCGCTTCCGAGTTGCCCACCAATGGGTACCAGTTCCAAAAACAAACGTTTAATGTTCACCTCCATTGATAACATCCCTTATCTCAGTTTGTGAAACCATGAGGTTATAAGCGTCAGGAATTAACAAATCACAAGCAGAAATACAAGCGGATATCACCTAGATCACAAAGCAGATCTGAATTACCATGAACGTGCTGACAGACTATGCTGCAAATATATTAGAGATAAGGTCATATTGCTATTGTGGTGAGGGCAGGCTGCTGGCCAATTGGTAGATATTAATTTACGCCATTGTCTAGGTCACTAATATTGGCCGTGGGAAAAATATGAACAAGGCTGATTCAACAACCAATCACAGCAGACTTAACGTGGGCAAATAAGATTCGCAAATATATGGCTTAACTTTCTGAGAAACCAGAAACAGCCAATCAGAAGACTGTGTTTGTCTGGTTGAATAAGCTATAATAATGTACATGAAATATATATAAATACGTGCTGATTTCCTTAATAAACGATCTGTTTCCGGCCCTTGTCTTTTGTTGTTACACTATGACAACCGAGTAATTGTGTAGGTGAAATATAATTTTGAAGAGTGGATCGTGTTTATCCATAAATTTTATCCACCACAACAGTTTTCCTGTCAAATATTAGAACAACTTGACTTTTTGGAGGGATTATTCATATTTTCGTTAAAATGGACAGTAAAAAAACAGTGATTCAGAACTTTCATGGTAGCATTAACGTGTCTCATATCCTTTCTGAGATTCGAACCCGCATCACCCAGTGGTGCAGTCAGAGACGTTACCACTGAGTTCCTTCAAGGTTGTAGATACACCTTTCTGACGAGTGCCAACTAGCACGAAACCTAGGTTCAAGGCTTCCTGTGGCCGATTGCCTACAACCATCTAATACCATTAAATCAATGTGCACCGTGATGGCGAGCTAGCTAGAATGGTGGTCACATTACAACCTGACTGATAGAATTCAGTCTACACCAATCAGAGGACTAGACGCATCACACTAGTTACTAGTGTCAAATCAGAAGGTCACCTATTTCCCTAAACAAGGCAGCATCGTTTCAACTACAGGTGATGTGGATGATGATGTCAAAGCCAGAATCAGAAAAGTAAAACAGAGCTGCATTACTCTGAAATCAATGTAGAAATCTGCAACAACAGTTAGCATAAGGAACAAGATTCAGATTTTGGACACTACTGTCAGATTAATTCTTTTATTTAATTCAGAGACTTAAAGCATCGCAAAAAGCATTTCCAACAGTTACCTTCACTCCATATCAAATATCAGATGATTGGCCAGAAAAGATAAGCAACAGGGAATTCTGGGAACGAATTGACCAACAACCCACTCCCCGACAAATATGGAGAAGGAAGTGGAGATGGATAGGACATACGCTGAGGAGACCACTGAGTGACTTCACACAAACACCAGGGCCTAGAATGGAACTCAAATGGAAGACGAGTTGAACGTCATGGCGTGACATGGACAAAACCATATGAAGAGGGAATGGAAGCTTACGGGCAACCGTGGAACCGGTTAAAGAGAGCTGCAGACAACAGGATAAAATGGAGACGTGCATTTGAAGCTATATGTTCTACTTGGAACCCAAGGAATGATAACAATGCATTTTTATCGCCCAGCTCTACATAAACGCTAAGATGATACACAGTGTTGATTAGATAAATTATAAAACTGGGAATTAAAACAGATTCGTTGTCTTTCTTCGCAGTTCGGAAACAAGAAGTAAACCAGTTTCTATAATAATTTACTTTTTCAATGCAAAGGGTTTCAACTAATCAATACAAAGTTGAAGGAGAGTAAGCAAAATCCCTCCTTTAAAACTGACATAAACAACAGCTTACCATAAAATGTTAATCAATAACAATCAATCAGTAAACAATGAACAATACAACAGTAAATACTACCAGACACATAACTCACTTTAATGTCCAGTGGACGCTTTAAACCCATAACTAAAGACCGTAATGGTGTATTCTTGATAAACACTTCCCCTGTTGTAATATCCACCTGAATGTCATCAGCATCCATTATACTTCGGGAATAAGGGACTAAAAATTCATCTGGAATTTTGATTTCTTTAGGCTTCTTTTTCGATTTAGATGGCTTAGTATTTGTTTTCGACGCTGTAGTATGTTGTTTATTACTATCAGAGATATCCATCGGTAATATATTTGCACTAACTGGTGATGAATGTACAATTGGGAGTTCATCATGATCTTTTAGTTGTTCAGGTTTTTCTTCTACAATCTTAACAGATTTATTGTGGTTATTTGATGTTGTAATTTCTTCAAAACTATCAGAACGCTTTGGTGTATTCGGTGGTGTGTTAACTGTTCTCAAGGGTTCATTTGTACTTAGGAAATTCAAATCAACAGGACTTTCTCGTTCATCTGGTGATTTACTTCTTTCATTAGGAAAAGATTGTTCCAAAGGTTGTGAATTCATAGTAACTGGAGATGAGTAAACGTTTGTCAGCTCGATACGCTGACTGAATGTTTCAGGGGAATTATTTTTTCCATCCAATACTGTATTTCTGTCCTCATGATCAGAATTTTCCGATTCAGATGAATCAATAGTAATAACAGATGCATCTGATGAATCTGTCGAAGAGACACTTGGAATATCTGTAAGACGCTCAATGTTAACTGATACATCAGGTAATGCAAGAGGATGTGGAGTGGTGAGGGCTGAAGATTCGTTTGCAGAAGACTGCTTTACTTTCTTACGTGACCTTTTCTTAAGGGTTGAAAAAGCCGCCGATGTTTTTAGATTCAGGTTAAAAATATTTTTAAAAAAAAGAGGAAAATACGATATCATTCATCAAAACTTTAGCGAGAAAAATCTCATTACCACGAAAATGAATCTAAATTAATTAAATGGTTGTATGAAGTAGATTTTTCATGTACCAGCCTATAATAGCCACAGGTGTCTGAAGGCTGATCATGCTGCTCAATCCTGAAGGCTGAGGTAGATAGATGGAGGAGGATTCTAACCAGACAGACATCAGTTGGAAATCAGCTGCTTAAACCAATTGGCCTTATTTCTCCTGAGTGAATCAATCAGTTATGTAATAGAAATATAATTAGCAACTTAAGATCAAGGCGTACCAGCTGTCGGTAAAGAGGGGACGAAATTTCAACACCTTTCTGCATGCGTCAGACCAATAGTCGATAAGCTCGTGTATCTGTGTAATTTTTGACCTGAACATCCCTAACTTAATTTCAAATTGAGCTACATTAGTTAACATTTTTCATTGATAAAAGGGTATAGAGAAGACACACAGACAAACACAACCTTTCTCAATCTTATCAATCGACCAACCTTTATCACATAACATTGTATACGCGACCTCAGTAATATAAAACTAACGAGACTGGCTACAAGAAGGTACTTATGGACGAAGACCTGGAGTTAATCAAAACAATTGATGGGCACTTACAATTTTATCAATCAACCTTCTAAAAATTCTACTCCTGGATACTAACTAAGCACTGAAGCTGAGATCACTATCTCTTGACTTGTGACAAAATGTGAAATAAACACAGCATAAACTAAATTTCAAATAGAAGAACTTATTGACCTTAATGCACAATATGGCGAACATTAAACTAACACCGAAGAATTGAGACCGAAACTACCTTCTATGCTCAATTATTGGTCGATTTATAAAGGAGAAAAACCAGAGGAGTAACAAGGCAGAAACAAAAAGAGTTAACTTAGACAATTTGTCTTGGTAGATTGTTTTTTATGTATGCAGATAAAAAGTGTTTTAAGCCACTGATCTCTCACTATCTGTATAATTTGTCTTGTTTTTATTTTCGGCAAGTCATGACGACTCAAAATTCTTATTATCTCAATTAAAACGGTTGAAATATGTGAAGCTAAGATGATCATATTGTAAAACGGTTCTTCGCGTATATATTCTAGAAATCTTTACAAAAGTATGAGAACAGCAGTAGTCTTTGCATTTATCATAGGCGTGAAAAGTGAGAAACAGGATTCCGTTGTGGGCGAAATTTGCTTTGATAAACTCTCGTTGTTCTACAGTAATATTCACTGATGTCATTTATTGCTCATAATCATATCAAGTTACTTGAGCGATGAAAAATAATGGAATTATATACACGAAGTTAGAAAGTAGTGTGAGTAACTTGATATGATTATTTTTTTTCATTTTGATTTTGATTATCGCTTCATTCCACACCGTATTCCGGTACAGGTATGGAATTTTCAGCATGTGATATCAGGCCGACCACTGATATCGGGTTTGCGTTGGGAGGGGATAGAATGCCGGACCATGTGCATGGTCGACGAGAGTCCTAACCGCTGTGCCATCAACGCACCAGCAATAAATGACATCTCTAAAAATTACCATAGAACAATGAGAATTTATCAAAATAAATTTTACCCACAATGGAATTATACTCTCCCACAGTGTCCAAGTTCTATTCTTATACCAATGAAAAACACGATGAACACATTATGTATTAAATATTGAGATTTATTAGTTGTGGTCTATGCATGATATTATGTTTTTTAGCGATCAACCATTCACTTGATCCAAGTTAAAATGTGAATACATTTTGGTCGACCTGAGTCATTTAATAACGACACACGCTCGACAATAACAATAATAGTGACAAAAAAACATCCTAATTACCGAGGCTAGGCTTTTGCATTAAGAGGAGTAATGTGCTACACATTTAATTTATGAAAAGCTAACTACGATAACTAGTCAAACAGGTAATGTAGTCAATATGGAATACTGTGTAAAATAAGGCAGATACTTTCTTGGCAATCAGATATTACTACAGGAGAACAACAAAAAGTCTCGATAGTCACACAAAAAACTTACAACATGGGGACTAATTCCAGAGTCAGGTTTTCGACGTTTAGGCGGCTTTTGAGTATCGACTGATGTTTTAATTGGATTTTTTTCATCATTTTCGGAATGGTGAAGTCTGTTAGACGATATGAAGAAAAATAATGGAAATAAAAAAAGAGTTTAGCAATTCGATAAAATGTTATCAATAAATACAATTGTTCCCTGGGACTGAAATACAAGAATAGAATCTGGACACTGGTAGGATGTAATTTCACAGTTAAATAACCCATTTGAAATAACATACACTGAAGTGGTGTTATTTGTTGATGGCATCCGCAGAAGAATGTATTACTCATACTTTTGATTGCACACTAGTCAGTAACTAGTGTAATGTGTCTAGTCCTATCTTCACTGCAGACTGAATTCTATCAGTCAAAAAAAAATATCCACTACAGTCCTACAGGAGGTCAATCGCGAGCCTAAATAGCTCAGTGGTAACGTCTCTGACTGCACCACTGGGTGACGCGAGTTTGAATCTCAGAAGGGACATGAGTTCCTTCAAAGTTGCAGATACGCCTTACTGATGAGTGCCAACTAACACGAAACCTAGGTCGAAGGCTTCCTGTGGCCGATTGCTTCCAACCATCTAATATTACTCATATGTATCTCAAGGGACTTAGGTAATTTTATGACTTGGATTAAACGATCATTTAAACCTGTCTTAATATGCCTATGTGCAACAAAATGTATTTTTTTATTTATTTTGATTACAGCTTGATGCCACACTGTATTTTCGGTACAAGTATGGAATTTTCAGAATGTGATATCGGTAGCCCAAATTTTGCAGGCCGACCATAGATATCGGTTTTGCGTCGGCAGGGGATCGAACCCCGGACCATGTGCATGGTCGGCGACAGTCCTAACCACTGGGCCACCGACGCTCGTACGTACGTATAACCTCATGAATGAATGCTATATCATTGAACAAATTCAAACAAAATGTATAAGAGTAGAATTTAGACACTCGTAGAATATAATTCTATTTTAGATTAGTTTATTTCACAACTGGATGATATTTCAAGCGAATTAGAAAGTCATGTGGGTGAACTGATATGATTATCAATAAAAAAATAACCATGAACTTACAGAATAACAAAAAATTGTGGCCATGATATTATTTTACCAATAGAGTGATAAATGTTAAAAGTTAACTGACTAGAAGCCGTGTTTGAAGGGAAAAATATATTCCTAATGAAACTGAAGCTTGCGTCATTCAATACTTTCGAGCTGCTCAAGTGACAACTATAGTTGTAGGATGAGGGTTATACATAATATGGATTGATTATTGAGTGGTAATTAAGGCAACTAGCTAGTGCTGTGAAATGATCAAAGTCTGTATATTAGGATGCCTTTTTTTTCTCATTTGAGAATTGGGCTGATTAGAAGTTTAGCTGAAATGTGTGTTTGTAAACTATTATCGGACAATAAATAACACACACTTACATATAAATAGTTAAAACAAGACTATGAGTAATTCGAATCATAACAGAGTTTTGTAAATATTTAGCTGTGTATTTGGATGATAAATACATCGACTGATTAATCATTGTCTGGACCACCAAAATACTATTTCTATGGAATACCCTTTCACTAATAATGGTTGTACTCTAACTCCAACGTAATAGCTATCCATTCTGTACTCTATTGCTCTCCATTAATCTTTCCTGGGTTTCTCAAAAAAGACTATATCATATTACGAAGGGTATTAAATGCTGTGAGTGGGGATTGTGGTTTGCCACTGCGTGAACTCGCCAATACTATAGTCGAGGGACACATAAATTCCTGTACAAAATGGCAAAAGCCATACTGTCAGATCCTCTGCACCCCCTTTATTCACAACTATACCCTTGCATCTCATCAGGTAGGACGAGAAGTCAATATAAGGAGTTATATGCTCGAACTACTAAGTACAAAAATTCTACAATACCGTATTTAGCCCGTATTTTATGTGATGAAGACACTGTTAGAAGTGAAACATATATGTTACTATGTAATTAGCAAAGCGAGTCGACTTTTTTATCGTTTATCTTTCTGTAATTTTATGGTGCCACCCTTTCTATCGTTTAATTATAACTTAGAAGTTTTATTTTAGTTGTTATTACTATTATTACTATAATTTTATACTTTATGCCTATTTTTCTCCGTATTGCATACTGTAGTTTGCTACATAGCTGCTATAACGTTTTGTTATTATTATTATGTAACGTTAATTTTTCTTATTTTTTTTGACGTTTTTTAGTAAATTAGATGCAATATTGTACTGAATGTTGGAAATTCCTTGCTGTATCATTGGTACTGTTTTTGGAATAAAGCAAAAATTATTATTATTATTCACCTGATCAGTGAGAAATTAACTCTTTCAATTCAAAGTGTTCCACTAATGAATGGGTTCAATTCTGTCTGTTTGTCTGTCCGGATTCAACATAGAACTTGGTACCGAAGTGCAGAAGTTCCAATTGCCACATTCCAAATAGCACACAAAGGTAGACAAGAAGATGAGTGAAGAGAATCAATACAGTCTGACAAGTATAAGAGTGAAACACAATGGGTAATGGTAGAAAGGAATGTGAAAGATTACAGACACTGAATACATCTGCGCTAGCCATTGACAACGATTTTGAGCCATGTCACCTATTGTCTCTAGCCATTGATTCCCAGAGTCCCGAGGGCCCCAACCCGGAAGTCTGCATCTCCCCACCTGACCGACTCAGTTTAACTGTCAAGGATTTCATGGATTGATGAGGCCATGTTTTTGTTTGGCCACCACTTACTCTTTTCCAACCTGCACCTATATCAGCTAGTAATGCCCGTCGCGGGAGGTGATGGTTAGGCATGCGCACCACGTGACCTAGCCATCTCGATCTATGTAACTTTATAGCCTCGTCGATTGATTTTCCCTCTTTGCCCAACACTACGCCTAACGTCAACATTACTTACCTTGTTAAACCACCTAACGTGAGAAAGAGATCGCAGACATCTATGATCGAAAGCAGTCAACCTTTTCATGTCTTCAACTCGTTCGTATTGGCCATGTTTCAGAGCCATAGAGAAGGATGGTGTGAACTGATGAGCAGTACACACGTCCCTTGGTTGATAGCCGAATGTCACGCCTACGCCAGAGATGGTGTAAGTCAAGGAAAGCAGCTCGAGCTTTTTGGATCCGTGCTGAGATTTCGTCGCCAATCAGTCCATTGGTGCTAATACAACTTCCCAAATAGGTGAAGTGGTCAACACGCCGAGCTACCACTTCACTCCCTATCACTAAGCTAGGAGTTGACGTAGTCCAGTCCTGTAGCAGCATCTTACATTTTCCAGGGGCGATTCGCATGCCAAACATACGAAGATTGCTTCTCAAGGTGTTCAGAAGACTCTGAATTTTGTCATCATCCTCCCCTAACAGGACTATGTCATTTGCATATTCTAAGTCCATAAGACTATTACCTGATAACAAGTCGATTCCTAAGTCAATTAATGCAGCATTGAACTATTAATCAACCGATTAGAAAAAACTACCACTAGGTCGAGCAATTTCGTAGTAAGTGCTTAATTCTTATCGTTTCAATAATAACTACACCAAAATTTACAAAACCGAAACACTATTTTTTTTAAGATTTTTAAACAACATTTCCAATTTAAAATATAGTGCTATAAAGTCACACGGTCAATGATACATTTGCCATGTTACTGCTAAGAAATGGAAAGTTGCAACCATCTCAAACTGTTTAATGGATGGTTTCCGGTCGTCTTTAACTTGTGGACGTTAAATAGTAAATCACTTAGAGTAGACTATATCAATACATTGTATCTACCTGTAATCTAAGTTATGTAGCAAGAATCATTCGACCTGAACTAGTTATTTCCGTTAGGCTTACAGTATTAGGTAAGGAGGGTAAGTTAGTCGATGGAGTTGTGAAGTTACATCGACTGAGATGGCTAGGACAAGTGTTATGCATGCATAGCCATCGCCATACTCCATGAGTTATGTTAGATGATATAAGATTAGGTTAAAAAAGAGTCAAGGGTGGGGGCGGGGCAAAACCTGATGTCAGTCCATGAGGTCGTTCACCACAGATGGTTTGAGCCACTTAATGAGATGTTGACTGCCTGGCTTGGGGTCCTCAGAATTCTAAGAACCAATGGTTAGAGACTATTGTTGATATTGCTAAAAATCATTTTCCGTAATATTTCTCCTTATCATGATTCTTTCGAACTTATTTTTCCGCACTTTTGTCTACCTCGTGTGCTACACAGAGTGTAGCAGCTTGAACTGTAGCAATTCTGCCCAACGTTCTATGTTGAAATTCAGTCAGTTGATTGCTTCCACTACCGATATTACACTATGCACAAAAGTAATGAACTCAACACCAGATAATAAAAGATTAGTCAGTGTACCACTCCTTTCAGAACTGAGTGTACCTTATACTAGCCCAACTTTTAAACAGACGGAAGGAAAATGTAAATATAGTTGACTCTGGCGTAGACGAGATGTTCGACTATTGACCAAAGGGCGGGTGTACTGCTCATCAGTCCGCTCCGTCCTCCTTTATGGTTGTGAGACCTGGCCACTGAGAGTGGAAGACATGAAAAGACTAGCTGTCTTTGATCATAGGTGTCTGCGCTCTATCTCCCGTGTAAAGTGGTATAATAAGTCGAGCAATATTGAGGTTAGGCTTCGGTCGATTGCTAGGTAAGGAAGAGAAATCAATTGACGAGGTTGTGAAGTTACAAAAACTAAGATGGTTAGGACATGTGTTACGTATGCCAAGTCATCGCCTTCCTCGACGAGCAATGTTAGCTGACATAGGGTCAGGCTGGAAAAAAGCTAGCGGCGGTCAAACGAAAACATGGCACCAGTCAATAAAATCTACAACAGTTGGTCTAAGCCACGTAGGAAGGTGTAGACTGGCTTCCTGGTTGGGGTCCTCGGGACGGTAAAAACCAATGGTTGGAAACAATTGGTGACATGGCTCAAAATCGTTCTCAGTGGCGCAGATGCATCCACTCCTTGTGACTTATGATTTCCAATGAAACTATGTTGTTCTTCGTTATTACTATTCCTTTGTCTCACACCTCTGTTTACTGTCTCTAATATGCATTTCTTCTACTTTCTTCTGTTGTTTTGTGTGCTGCATGGAGTGTGGCGACTTGAAACTAAAGTTCCATGTCGAAAACAGACAGACAGTAAATATAGTTGTACAGATGAGTTATAATCTCCACCTGACCCAAACTATACCCCATCTTATTTAGCAAACATTAGGGAATAATAAAAAAGACGCCCAGTTCAGAAAAAAAACTGCAAATGATGTAAATATGTTTACGACCAACCTTTTACGTGAAACTGCAACCTGCGTAAATCCTAAAAAGACTAAGTCTGTTTCATCACCTGTATCATCATCTAATGTACTAGCTGATACATATGATGAATTGGATGATTCACGTGCCAGTGTATTTACCACTGTTTTTTCTGGTGATACGCTTCCACTCGGAGGATTACTAAACGGCCGATTCGAAATTGTAACAGGCAACTGTATTTCTTCTGAACCAATAGGCATGCTAACTGGGAAAGCTTGTTTACGGCGATGTGACTGCTGAGAAGTAGTAGTGTCTGATGAATTATTTGAAGTCGGTTGTCTAACACTAGAAATTTAAAAACACACACACAATATAGATGATTAAAAACTCAAAACTGCAGTCATCAATACTCAAGGTCAGAACAATCGACTATGACCGATCAATAGGCGTTCAATTGTGAAATTCGGATATCGATAAAATCTAAATATATTTTGAAACACAATGTTTGAATCTTATTCGTTGTAAGGCATTAAACACTATGTAAATAATATAGGTCATAGATTATATGAAACTTTCCGATTTCATAAGTTAAATTAACACATCACCCTGAAAGTTATGAAGAAAGAAGATTCTTTCCATAAAAATTTGCTTTAAGGTTCTGACAATCATGATGTAACGGTTGTTTTTCTTAATATTAGTAGACATGTGAAATATAAACACATTTTCTAAAAGAAATAACAAAAGCCAATTTGTCGCAAAACTGTATGAATTCACAGAGAACATTTCTCATTCATGAGATCCTCTTTAACTTATGCAGCGTGTACTACAAGATTTTGCGAATAGTATATATACACGTTGTGCGTCAGTGGTATAGCGGTTAGGACGCTCGCCGACCATGCACATGGTCCGGGGTTCGATTCCCGGCCACAGACGCACTCCTTTACCCCGCTAAGCCAGAAATAATCCTGGTAAAGAGGAAAGGTTGGGCGTGAGGTTGGCAACTCCATCCTGTAAAATTAAACACTGCTACAGCAACTTCAAGCCACTAGCTTAAAGCCTTATGTTCCACTGGGGAGCGTGCAGGAAAAAAAGGATATATTTTGCTTCACGCATACATCAAGTAGCCAGTAAACGATTCGGCTACCATATACTATTGTGTTTTGTTGTTGTTACACTACCCCTTCAATTTAACACTGTATTATTTGAAATAAATAAAGCCATAACACCATGCAGTCATTTTACAAATTAAAACTAATGTGGTTTTTAATGTTTAGCGTATTTTACCGTATATTTAATTAGTATCATACAAGTAAATTTGATTTCATGAATGCAGAACCCAGATATTCCGTTCATAATCCCAAGTAAATCAAAGTAGATCTATGAGAATGTGAACATCTTTAATCAAGATCGTCCGTACTTTTAACAGTTAAACTGTGATTAGTAAACTTAACGTAACACCACCAGTTCTTATGGTTTACTTAAAAGATCAAACACACCAACTACATTATGGGCCACCACCAACTGATACCTTTAAACAGTAGTTGCTTAGACTGAAGTAGACGTAATGGAATTTCAATAAAAGAAATACTTCTTCAATAATCAGTATCGGGTAATTATTCATCTGCATTTCATTTCTTGAACGTGTTTCATAGATGAGAAAGCATCTACAGATCCAGAAATACGAACGTTAACTATAGGTGTTCACGTTTTCTCTTCTATGTTGGATAAATAAAAACGATCAATAAACGTTGATTACAACAAACAAGGAACATAATAGTTTACCAAGCAATTCTCATAATCATCCTGTTAACCATAACCAACAATTATACAGCAGAGCAACTAACCCATCTCATGTAAACGCCAAATACCTAGCAAGACAGTGTGTTTGTCACTTTATCCACTTCACATACATGTGAAGTTTTGTATCCATTACTGCTGAGAACTGATGCAATATCTTTTGTGTTTCAGGAACAACCCTAACCCTAAACTAAAAAGTTGTTAGAAGAAGCAGAGAAGACAGGGGTGATGAAGAAAACCAACCAACACTCCCAACGGGAGAAATTAGAACTAGGTAACTTTCACTTATTTGGGTAGCATCATTTCAACTACAAGTGGTAAGGATGACGATGTCAAAGCTAGGACCAGCAAACTAAAACAAGCATTTAGAACTCTGAAATCAATGTGGTAACCTGCTGCAATCAGCATGAAGAACAAGATTCATATGGTCAGGAAGGAAAGGCGGCGGAGAACTCTGCAAACTAACCAACCAACAAACCATTGCCTAACAAGTATGCAGAATGAAGTAGAGATGGACTGGGCAGCATACACGTCAAGGAGACCATTGAGTGATATCACGCACTAGGACCTCAAGTGAAACAGTAATTGGAAACGGCAAGTTAAGCGTCGGAGGGTAAAACAGAGACTGTCTATAGAGAAGATGAGAGCTTGCTGACAATCGCGGAGGCAGCTGAAAAGGACTGCAGAAAACAGGGTGAAATGAAGGTGTGCTGTTGAAGCCCTGTGCTCTACTCGGAACCTAAGGGGTTAATAATAGTAATAATATTTTCTTCATAATTGTAGAAAAACTATCGTACAAGCTTTTTAAAGCCTAATGTAATTTAAATAAATCCCAACCAACCATTTCATCACGAAAACTTACCTAGCTGTTGTTGTTACATCATTAGGAGGTAAGTTCAGTGACAACGGAATGGAAAATTCGCTGATGCCATTATCATTATGAATTTGATGATTACCAGATGGTTGGGATGTTAAATCAAAGGGGTTTAAGGCTAAAACGAAAAATACAGAGAAATGTATCTAATAAAAGATTCACAAACATTTCTTATCATATGAATTTGAATCTTATTGAAATGAAGTGTTCTCACCATTTGAATTTACACAGAGGAATATATTTATTAGATTGTAGGGAAATTCAAATTTTTAATAAGGAGATAGGAAATATGCACAAGTTTTATGGTAATATGTAGTTGTAATGTAGTAAAAATTTGTGAATTTCTGGATGTACTTATCTTTAAACACAATGCTATCCAGAGGAAATAGTGTGTCAAGTGTTCAGACGAAAAATGTACACTTCATAAAGTTCTTAATCAGATAGTGTCTCGTTACCAATCCAAGAAGTATTCACAACTCGTCGATAGGATGGGTCAAGTTGATTTGCCTACAGAGAGTCTGCCGGGGCGAGACGCTGTTTAACTTACCATAGATTTTGTTCACTTCATTATAGAAAAAGCAGTCATTTAAATACCTGCTCGGCCACATTCAGAAAATATGTACGAAGGACGGAGAAATGCAAAACCTCAACAAAATATTGTTAGATAGTAACTATCCTCTGGAATTCATTAGACACTAGTGAGACGTCAAACAAAGGAATCCGTCGATACATCCAATCAGTCTCCAAAAAGAAAGTTTATATATCTCTACATCGTTTAAGAGTGATCACCAAAGTCTGATCACTAAACAAAGACTCAAACAGGCACTTAATAGAACTTCCTATACTTTTAAACTCATTTTCATACAGAAAAGAAACTTATGTTGCCCTGTAAACCTTCACAGAATCAATGTAATAGTATCACATCCCAACGTGTTTGCAACCAATTTACAAATATGGGTGATCACATATATATGGGAAGGACCCGTCGATTTTTGAACGTTAGGGTAACAGAACACATTCTGCAGTGGCTGCTAAAACAAACAAAATCACTTCATTCAGTTGATCCTGCAAATAGATGGTTCAACGTTATTCATCGTAAAGCATATCATAAAGTTAGCTCCAGTAGTGCTTTTAAACCTATGCATAAAACATGTTTGGGTCATAAAAGGCTTAACCCTATCTGGTGTTCAAAAGTTATTTGTTATGAGTTTGAACCTTTCTTAGCAATCCAATTTAAAAATATGGTTTATTTTATTCAATCTTTTCGTTTTCCGTTTTTCTTTTTTGCCTACCTTTTCTGTCTCCTTTCTGTGATTGTGACCTGTGGACATTCTGATCTAAAAAAGATAAGCAATTTTAATCCTTTACACTTAAATGCCTTTTATATAGGTATGTATAACATGTACAGGTGCGATGAGTATGCCTGAAATGCGTCGACCAAATACATCAGATGTTTCAGATTAAATTACCTTTTCGTATTGCTTCGCCAAAATCTAAAGATTAATTTGTACTACTAACAATTAAATCAGTAGGTGAAATCAAATAAAAAGAGAAAACGTACAGAAAGTATTCACGGTGTCAATCGAATTTTTGTTATCAACGTTAACCAGAAGAAATCAAATTGCCAGGAATGACTGGAGGTGTGGTAAATGTAAGCCAAAAGAGAAGGGGATTCAGTATATACCTTTTAATTTCACCCCAATATTACAATACAGTATAATGAAATACTATTCAGTTATACTTATTAGGAATTTACCATTTTTATATTGATTACAGCTTGATTCCACACCGTATTTTTGGTACAAGTATGGAATTTTCAGCATGTGATATCGGTAGCCCAAATTTTTCAGGCCGACCACAGATATCAGGGGTGCGTCGGCAGAAATTATGGTAAAGAGAAAAAAAGTATACCACTGTCCAAAATTATTCACTAGCTAACCCAAATCTGCTACATAAATTTGCAGAGTGATATGAGAATTACAAAAAGAATCACCAATTGTTCAGGCATGTGTTACTGACAAGAAATTGATATCATCTCCTGCAAGAATCCTCAATAAGGAAACGACGGATTAGTTTGGTAAAAAGAGAAATGAAGATAGCTGTGAAGCAGTATTTATTATTATTTTTTATTGAACTCCTTCATGTTCCCAGTGGAACATTTTTTTTTGATTTACAGCTTGATTCCACACTGTATTTTTGGTACAAGTATGGAATTTTCAGCATGGATATCGGTAGCCCAATTTTTGCAGGCCGATCATAGATATCAGGTGTGCGCCGGCGTGGGCTCGAACCTCGGACCATGTGCATGGTCGGCGAGAGTCCTAACCACTATGCCACCGACGGGATTCAAGCTACCAGCTATGATGTTTTGATAGCAATGGTTTTATTTTCACGGGTTAGGGTCTGTCTGTCTGTTTTCGACATGGAACTTTGCACAAATGTGCAGCAATTCAAGTCGCCACACTCCATGCAGCACACAAAACAACAGAAGAAAGTAGAAGAAATGCATATTAGAGACAGTAAACAGAGGTGTGAGACAAAGGAATAGTAATAACGAAGAACAACATAGTTTCATTGGAAATCATAAGTCACAAGGAGTGGATGCATCTGCGCCACTGAGAACGATTTTGAGCCATGTCACCAATTGTTTCCAACCATTGGTTTTTACCGTCCCGAGGACCCCAACCAGGAAGCCAGTCTACACCTTCCTACGTGGCTTAGACCAACTGTTGTGGATTTTATTGACTGGTGCCAAGGTTTTGTTTGACCGCCGCTAGCTTTTTTCCAGCCTGACCCTATGTCAGCTAACATTGCTCGTCGCGGAAGGCGATGACTTAGCATACGTAACACATGTCCTAACCATCTTAGTTTTTGTAACTTCACAACCTCGTCAACTGATTTCTCCTCCTTACCTAGCAATCGACCGAAGCCTAACCTCAATATTGCTCGACTTACTATACCACTTCACACGGGAGATAGAACGCAGACACCTATGATCAAAGACAGCTAATCTTTTCATGTCTTCCACTCTCAGTGGCCAATTGAAGTTTTAATGTAATTTTTCTACATTTTCTTATCACTGAATGTCAATTTCCCCGAGTAAACAACGCTACTGTCATCAAATACCATTGTGTTCTACCGTTACAGTGTTATACAATTACTATTCATTCACATGATATATTACCTTGTAAAAGGAAATAACAATTAAATTTCTCAAGTACAGTTTATCAAAGGCAAAAGGGTGAGAGAAAAAATCGATTGGGATAGTTCCACTTCCTGATGGTGAAGAAACAGAATATCGACTATTGAAGTGAATACCCAATACTGATTACTTAAGTAAAATATGTCGCAAGGGATTAATACTACATTACGATGATTTCTTCAAACACATGAAATAAGCGGTAATATCTTTTCGACTCGATTTTCATGCTGCGTAAGCAAGTAAAATTATTTACCAAATGTATAAATAATAAAATGTGTCCATACCAGATTATAATACTACCGTTTCACTTCATCAATATAAGAATATTTATATACAATTACATTAGCCAAATTAACAGGTGTCACTGGAACTGGGAGCGTCAGTGGCACAGCGGTTAGGAAGCTCGCCGACCAAGCACATGGTCCGGGGTTCGATTCCCGGCCACAGACGCACTCCTTTACCCCGCTAAGCCAGAAATAATCCTGGTAAAGAGGAAAGGTTGGGCATGAGGCTAGCAACCCCATCCTGTAAAATAAACACTGCTACAGAAACTTCAAGCCACTAGCTTGAAGCCCTATGTTCCGCTGGGAACGTGGAGGAAATAAAAATTGGAACCGGGTAACCATATGATTAGTATGCTACACAACTGGAAAAATAGTCCTATTTTGACCATTAAGTCCAATAAAATTATTAACAATTAGAAAAAAGCTAACTAAAGTTACTGAATATTTACAAAAAAAGTATTCCACCGTTATTAACTTACTAGGTAACCTAATAACACCAACTGAATTTGATGAACTGATATTATTGACGGATAACGGTAATGCTGAGACTACCATTTGATTTGATACATTAGGAGAAGATACAGACTGTGGATGTGGGATGATACTTTGAAATAAATGCCGTGAATGTATGTGGCGAGAAAGACGATCAACGGTAGAAGACCTTGATTAATAAAAAATAATATGAAGAATTTAGACAACGTTTTCATAAAAACTAGGAAAGCAACAAATGAATATAAATCTATGAATATAAATTCTATTTAACAAGCATGAATTAAACTTGCACGAGATGCTTAGCCAAAAAATCACGCCTTCAAAATGTACAAACTGAGATGCTAACTTTACAGAGTTCATATTATCTACACACACGTAAAATATACAGCTTCCAATTACCAAAGTAGAACTAGTAAAAATCGGATTCTAATAACAGTTCTTCCGACTGATAACTACTTTCTTGACGTAGTAGTCGAGCTTGTATAACAAAAAAGGACTCAACAAGCTCCACTGGTTGAAAAGAATATTTCTTCAGGTATTCCTGTGTCAGAAAGGTCGTTCGACTAGCGGTTAAACTAAAAGAAGTTACGTTCATCGTGTAAGTCACTCACTCAATGATGAACTTGTGTTGCTGGTGAGTAGGGATATAATAGCGGTTTGGTGTCTCACCCGGATGACCAGCTAACCAGCTATATTGCCCTTTCATTCTGGAGAGTGAGGTTTAGAAAAGGTCGACCTCAAGAATTCGACATTCCGGTCCGCAGAAGCTGAGGAAATATATCAGACTTATGAAGGCACTGGCGCAACTCTAATTTCAAGCTACCAATTTCACGTCAGGTAAATTGCGGCTTACAGACAAAAAGAGAGGTGGTAGATTACCGAAACCTCTAGAACAATAATCTAAACTCCAATCAAACACTAATCCATGCCTGAAGGTGTCTTACACTGAACGGGGATAGAAAAGGGACAGTAATAAAGCTCACTACGCTCATAAATTATCAAAATCACAAACTATTTAGAAAAAAAATAACTAATCGCTTATCTCAGAGTGACAGTAATACCCATTCTGACAAAGTCCGTCATGATATCCAGTCTGTTGTAGAAACATTGGTAAAGGTTGTTTATAACCAGCAACTGAAGGTTAGTAAATATAACTGCATTTCTCTTGCATCATCCTGATCGATAAGCCCAAGAAGACTGATTTCCGTAGGTGTCCAGCATCACAAGCACTAGAAGTTTTTCAAATCAATGCTGACTAAAAGTCTCCGCCCCATTAAGACGAGCAATGATGAGTGGTAAAAGCAAAAGGAATGGCAAACGCATCAGCATGAGATAATACTTGTCAAAAACTTAGTCTTACTAGGAGAACTGCTGTGAAGAATGCATGGTCAGTGGAATGATTTCTGAGGACAGAACCTCAATTACTTCTCAGGAGTAAACATTCCGAAGAACGGCTTAACTACCTTATAGTACATTACAGTTGCCCACCATATAATACCTGCCTCAATTTGATGTAGACATAGGTACTCCAACCGTAACCAACGTTGAAAAGGCTGCATCTTACGTAACATGAGGTAAAGTAGTAGCACGTGATAGTATAACTCCAGAGGTATTTAAGGATGGAGGTGAATGACTGACCAGGTTAACCAAGATATAAGATTATACGTGAGAATTTGAAATAGCTCTGTTGAAGCGATGTAAATCACTGATTACCCTAGTTTGTAAAGGGTAAGACATGTTTTCCTGTGATAATCATAGGACGGGATGAAAACTTCACTGACATAGTGTCTAAAGTCCCAGGTCCAACGATCATACGTAGACCGAGTGGTGTTCAGGAGAGACAAACCAGTGAAAAAAGGCATTAGGCCAGAAAGAGGGTGTATTTATGATATCATTACCCTTTGATGGGTTGTGTAACAAAAGCATATATACAGGCGTCTAACACTTGCCACATTTCTTGACTCGATTACGGTACTTCGTCACCTTAAAGTAGGGCAAAACAGACAGCCAGTGCTCTCTGCTTAACAATCATTCTTGATTCCTGACGAAGTCCATTTTGATATCACTATTACTAATAGAATATTTCCGAAGACACCTAGTCTATGATGCTCTGATCTTAATAAATGAAAAAAATAATCAATATGAAATACAGAAATGTTAGTAGTGGAAGCGTCTGTTCAGCAATGATAGAGGACATCAATGCATTCACAAACGTTATATTCATATGAACACTCTTCAATTCAAATTTGATAGGTGAATGGCACGAACTCGGTGATAAATCTCGACAGTATAAGCATTATTATTCGTGATGTCAACAGTGCGTTGTACCATCAAGGTTAAACATTGACTAGCAATTGTTTTTAGCTAACATTAATTCGTCATCACAACATGTGATGAAATAAATTTTAAAATGAAATACATTTCTAATCAACAAAATTCCCAATAGTGAGATTTCTGAGGGGTAAACATCCAACCACTGAGCAAACGAACAACAAAGCAAATAATAACTCACGTAAAAGGGCAATTAGGACAAATAAAACTATTTTTTGTCGTGGATGGTTCGCTTTGTTGACCACCTTCATTAGCATTCCCAATACCTAAAAAGTATTGATATTTTACAAATGGTAAATGTTCACATTAAAAAGAAATGCCAGATAAATGATCAGAGCGTAAATTATTCTGAAGTATTGTGACGAGAAAAAATCGGGTGTACGTCAAAGAAGTAGGTGTTTTGTACTACAATCGGGACCAAGGAATTATCTCACTAATTGGGATATTAGAATATTAAGATATTATTCAGCTTAAAGAGAATAGTACTCAATCCGCAGTTAGATTCAAGTCAATTAAAACAACAAGAACATATTCAATTGCAAATACTTATCACTCAAATCTACTTAGACCCATAAACAGAAATTTAATTCAAGTATTGGTTTGTAGGAATTTGGTTGATTGGTTACAGGATTTCATCGTGAGCTGCCATTAGTTAGAAAACCATTATTATTATTATTATTATTATTATTATTATTATGTCCTTTAGTTCCTAGAGGAACATAGGGCTTCAGCTACGCACCTCCATTGCCTTCTGTTTTCTGCCAACTTTTTTCACCCCGCTCCAAGTCTGTCCACATGCTTTCATCTCCTCCTCACATGACCTCCTCCAAGTCACCCCACCACTGGACGACCAACTCGCCGCTTCCCTTTCGCGTTCCACTCGACCCACGGCTTGTCTAGTGATGTCACTTGATGGACTCTTTTCTCAGAGTATGCCCAATCCATCTCCATTTCTTCCTGCCTATTTGTTTCACAATCGGTTGCTGATTGGTTCGCTCCCAGAGATCCCTGTTGCTGATCTTTTCTGGCCAGCCATCTGATCTTGAGTATTGAGCGAAGACAACTGTTGATGAAGGTCTGAAGTTTGTTTGAGGTGCTCTTTATGACGTGCCAAGTCTCTGATCCGTATAGTAGCACTGACTTTACATTGGAGTTGAAAATCCGGATCTTATTTTTGATCCTGAGTGCTGTTGACTTCCACACAGACTTAAGAGTAATGAAACCTTGTCTTGCTTTTCCGATTCTTGCTTTGATATCCTCGTCAGTTCCGCCTGTAGTTGAAACGATGCTTCCCAGGTCGGTTGGTGAAGGAGGTTGTTTCTTTCAGGTTCCTTCCATTATTCTGGCTGATTGTTGTCTGTTGTTGCTGCTGTTGTTGTTGGCCAGGAATCTTTATCACCTCTGTTTTCTCTATGTTCACCTGAAGTGAGGTCCTGTATTTGATGCTTCTTCTGCCAACTTGTTGCTTTTCACTTGCATATCTTCCAATTTATGGGAAATCAGACATATATCATCGGCGAAGTCCAAATCCTCCAAGTTTTTTGTGTGAGTCCACTTTATACCTGTCACCTCGTTGCGTTGCCCGCTGTCTGTCGCATTATGCAATCTACCACAACCAGGAAGATCATTGGCGATAGTAGACAGCCTTGTCTCACTCCCGTCCTCACTTCGAAGGCTTCCGTAAGTTTCCCGTTGTGGATTACTTGGCATGCAGCATTGTCGTATAACTGTTGGATCAGATGTATAATTGTCGATGACACCTCTTAGTAGCGAAGTAGTTGCCAAATCACCTCTCGATCGACGCTGTCGAATGTCTTTTCAAAGTCGATGAATTTGAGATAGAGAGAGTGACTGCCATTCCAAGCTTTGCTCAATGATGATACATAGTGTGGCGATCTGATCAATACATGACTTGTTTCTCCTGAATCCGGCCTGTTCGGGTCGAAGTTTTTCATCCATATTGGCTTGTTTGATTCTCTCCAGGATGATGCGGCTTAGTATTTTGCTTGGAATGGACAGGAGCATAATTCCGCGCCAGTTCTTGCATTGACTTAAGTCTCCTTTCTTTGGTAGTTTGAATAAGTATCCTTTCTGTCAATCCTCGAGTACTTTGCCCTCTTTCCACACCTTCTCCAGTAGTGGTGTCATCAAGTCCGCTGTTGTCTCTGGGTCCATTTCCAATGCTTCTGCTGGGATTCCATCTGGTCCTGCTGCTTTTCCAGCCTTTAGCATCTTGATTGCATTCAGGACTTCTGATTTCGTCGGGGGGTCAATGTTCACTGGTAGTTCTGCTTCCGCCGTTGGTATTGTTGGGCGCGTCGTAGGTGGCGGTCGATTTAGAAGTCTTTTGAAGTGTTCAACCCAGTGTTTTCTTTGTTCCATCTCTTTGGTGATTGACTTTCCATTGTCATCCTTTATTGGCTTAATCTGTGTCGAACTTTTGCCCGATAGGTGTCTAGTTGTTTGGTAGAGTGTGGTGAGGTCTCATTTGCCTGCAGCTTGTTCTGCTTCACTTTCCATGGTTTCATAATATTTTCTTTCGTCTTCCCTGGCACTCTTCTTTACTCTTTTGTTCAGTGTATTGTAGCTTGCATTCAACTCCTGTTTTTGTTGCTCGTCGGTGCACTGGATAATCATTTGTTTCACTGTCCTTCTCTCTTCTATTAGTTTCCAAGTGTCCGTAGTGAGCCACTGTTTGTCCTGTCTCTTCTTTCTGTCTAGAAATTCCATGTAGGTTTGACTCCACACCGTTTTCAAGTTGTCCCAGTGCTTTTCGACGCCGATCTCTTCGCTAGTGTTGGTTTGTGTCTCGGCTTTGTCCTTTATGCTTGCAATTAAGATGTCCCTTGTATCTTCGTCCTCCAATTCTTGAGTGTTGAACTTGGCTTGTGGTCTATCTGCAGCTCCTGATTCTCTGAAAGCTTTTAATTTGGCTTGGATTATCCCTTGTACGAGATAGTGGTCTGAGCCAACGTCTGCTCCTCTTCTTACTTTTGTGTCCAGTAGGCTGCGCCTCCACTTCCTTGAGATTGAGATGAAGTCAATTTGGTTTTTGGTTTGCCCATCTGGTGACACCCATGTAGCCTTGTGGATATCTTTGTGTTTGTATACACTGCCACCAATCACTAGTTCGTTGAAGGCGCAGAAGTAGGCGAAGAGTTCTCCATTTTCATTCATTTCTCCGAGAGCTTCTCTACCCATGATGAGTTCCCTTCCTGTGTTGTCTGGTCCCAGTTTGGCGTTCATATCTCCCATTAGTATTTTAATGTCACCAGCTGGAGTATTGTCCATTGTTGCCTGTAGTTGTCTGTAGAATTCTTCTTTCTTTTCGAGGTCTGCGTTGTTTGTGGGTGCATAACATTGTATAATTGACACTTTCCTTCCGTTGGAGTTGAATCTGGCGGTCATTATCCTGGATGAGATCGCCTCCCATTGCATCAGGACTTTCGTTGACGTTGGTGACATCATGATAACCACGCCCTCTGTGTGCGTGTGGTTATCTTCTGGGTGACCGGAGTAGATCACTGACTCACCCGTTGACAATCTGGTGTGTCCACTCCGATTCCAGAAAACCATTGGAAAACATGAGGATATTGGACAACTATTTCGTCCTAGTTTGGGACTCTTCAACAGTACGCACCCACACTACGGGGTTCGAATCCAGGACCTTCTGGTTACACGGCGAGTCCGTATACCATTAAGCCACTGGGACTCGATCCAATGGCTCATGAATTCTAACTTCTGCCAATTCACGACATAGCGCGACCACTAGCCAATGTCTTCGGCTAATTTGATTCTGTTGAATCAGGGATGATGAATGTAAATTAGATTCCGTAAGCTACTTATTCGACTAGGATTAAAAGTAATCAGTAGCAAAGACAAAGACCGACTGAATATCAAAACAACTTAGGGAAGAGTAACAAGTTTATGTTCAAGACTGTGAATTTTACCTCGTGAATGGTTGTTTAGTATGATACCTGACTGAATGTTATTTATTTATTTAAACGCAGAAAAAACTTAATGCAATATGGCACCAAGAAAGATGCGCCATACAATAATAATAAAACAACATATATTAAAAGTAAAAAAAAATATAAGTAGAGAACGGATAAAGAACTTCATCTGGAAGGAAAACAGTCATGCTTAACAAGTTCAGACAGTATTCGTTAACTATCATCGGGAAGGGAAGAAAGAAGGAATTTGCAACATGTTCGCCATTGATTACGATTCTTGGCCATATCCGATAACGTTTCGAGCCAGGTACCCAGATACACAAAATTATCAACAACTTCAAGCGGTTCACCCTCAAGAGTGAGTGCATATACAGGCTCCAGCCAATCTTGTAACAGTACTTTGCACTTAGACGGTGCAAAGCACATGCCATACTTGCAGACACTAACAGGATGAGGCAGAGTGGTACTTAAACTGGAGGTTTAGGGCCAAGAATCGCAGTGCCTAATTCAATAAATAATATGGTTGTTCATTCTAATCTTAATATAAATACAGATGCAAATGTAGTGTGATTATTCGCAATCAACGAAATCAGAATCAAAAAATATATATGAATAATGATTCGCGTCGTAACTAAACGTATCAATTAGTAAAATAATTATCTTAGGATCTATGAGACTAAATCGTAACTTGTCTAGTTTAATTTCAAAAATACTCACATTCCTTTACGATTCAAAACATCTTGGTTGTTCCACGTTGAAACCAGTCAGTCAGTCAATTTGTATGAAAACTGATTTTAACTGCTGTAGAAAACTCCATGGAACAGAGATACAAAATAAACGAACAGAAGACTCTCTTTCAAACAATTTTCAACTCACCGTTTGAAGTAGAACAGGAATTATGGACAAGGCCAGTACCATTTACAAATACATTCACTATCCCACCGACCTGAGCATTCAAAAGTTCGAAGGAGAAAATAAAAAACAATAAGTCGGATTACAGTGAAGGCAACATTGATGTATAAAGACATTCTCGTTGACAGAAAGCATATTATTACTGTGACAATTACTATATTGTGATATCATAGAGAAAAGCCCTGAAAACCTAAAAGTTAATTAATTACCATCCAGTTATATAGAAGGTAACTTTGAAGTTGTTTTGTTATCTACAAAATACGTGGGAATCTTGCTAAAAGAGTACGAATCAAACTTTTTCAGACCGCAGAAGTAATGCCAATTCACATATTAAAACCTGAACTCTGCACATAGAAGTCTCTTCAGTCATTAAACCTACAGTGGATCTGACCTATCTTAACACCAAATACGTAATTTTTGTTTTGTCTTTATCTTGTTTGTTTCTTTTTTTATTTCCTTCACGTTCCCAGTGGAACATATGGCTTCAAGCTAAGGGTTTGAAGTTTCTATAGCGGTGTTTATTTTTACAGGATGGGGCTGCTAGCCTCATGCCTAACCTTCCCTCTTTAGCAGTCTCATTACTCGCTAAGTGTGGTGAAGGAATGCGTCGGCCAAGGATCGAACCCCAGACCATGTGCATGGTTGGCGAGCATGCTAACCGCTATGCCACCGACGCATATTGTATAATATTCTCTTCTCTAGCCCATTGTTAAATCTCTACCTCCTATTATCAATGTTGTTAACTTGACTTTGGTTCAATTTTAATTTTAGCTGAGCTCTACTCAACCCCGTTTAGCTTATTTAATTTTATTTTAGTTTCTAACCCATTAACAAATTTGTTATCTAAAATTTACAATTCCAATGACGTAACCTTGGAAAAATTCGTTTTGTTGCTAAGACAATTTACTATATAAATACATATATAAAACTAATTAATACTTTTGAGAAATTCTATATAAGTTACATAATGATAAGTAAATACTACATTAACGAAGATTATATGTCCTAATAAGTGTATGAGCTTGAGGTTCAACGTGTAAAATGGCTTTCTGGTGTTAAAATCATTTGGATTTGCACAACAACGATTATTCGTTGGCCTAGGTGGTTTTTAACTACACACATGAAACACTGTCAGACACATTATATCCGTGAAAACTGGGAATAATATAAGTCATTCTTCAAAAAAGGAAAGCCATCAAATTTATACCAACCGAAATCATAAAAACAATTACTTCAGCGGAGTTGTTTATACGGCAGATCAGCTGCACCTTGTTCTTTATAGACGAGACTGGATAGAAAAATACTGTTGTTAAGCCCATTATCTAGTCATTTTTACAAACAGCTAAGCTTTAGACGAAGAGAAAACCATTCGATCATCACATGTATGGCACATAAATGTAGGTGAAAAACATATGAAACGATAAGAGGTCTACTACAAACCAGGAAGCATATCGAAAGCTCCAAGTTTAAATGATATGTTTCCGTGTTTTATAGACCCTAGTAAAAGAAGATAGAAAACAAATTGATGCTAAAGCATTTGCAAATTTTCTCTGAAGAAATGACAACTGATCAAAGCCATTCACAACATTAAGATTGTGTTGTGTGTTTAACTGGCAGACGCAACAAACAGTGTTACTGCTGCAAACGCCATTCAATCATTTAGTTCACTGTTAATCTTGCTTTCGAATGCCTTGTCAATATTCCGCATACCATCGGTCCTTCGAACGAGTAGGCTTAGAAACAACAAGCTTAGTAAGAGAATAACTAATTCATAGAAATTACCTTCTAAACAATACAACGGATTTCTAACAACTTAGTGCTCAAAAAGAAAACAGAAAAAAGTCAACTTACACCTTGTATAACACTCCCGCAACTTTCAAATAACTGGACTAGAGGACTAGGAGCTGTTTCCTCTCGCCTTGCAATCGCTAAATAGAACAAGCAAACAAGTAGACAGAAATAGTTAAAACGCACTCATACGAGCTTAACAATTGAGAGAGAGAGAGAAGAATACTAAACCACACGCCAATACTGGGAAATACAACTATTCCAAATGAAATCGATTTTCCAATAACTGGATTTATTCAAAATCTCATACTGGGTAGTTATTTTTAGGGACAATGACAATAAATTTTATGAATAGCCAGGCACGCTTTCCTGTGATTACCAATAGATTAACAAATTAAAAAATATCCCTACAGGATCCCACTATTATCTATATCTTTTCTGAACAGTGAAGAGCTAGATTAAGGATTAAATCTACACTAACATTGTTTATTTAATGAATATAGCACAGGTTGTAATAATTATCCTTGCAGCTTTTGTCTAGCACATTACCACGCGAAACATACGCATTTGTATTTGTCTGTCCGGATTCAACATAGAACTTGGCACCGAAGTGCAGAAGTTCCAATTGCCACATTCCAAATAGCACACAAAGGTAGACAAGAAGATGAGTGAAGAGAATCAATACAGTCTGACAAGTATAAGAGTGAAACACAATGGGTAATGGTAGAAAGGAATGTGAAAGATTACAGACACTGAATACATCTGCGCTGGCCATTGACAACGATTTTGAGCCATGTCACCTATTGTCTCCAGCCATTGATTCCTAGAGTCCCGAGGGCCCCAACCCGGAAGTCTGCATCTCCCTACCTACCTGACCGACTCAGTTTAACTGTCAAGGATTTCGTGGATTGATGTCATGTTTTTGTTTGGCCACCACTTACTCTTTTCCAACCTGCACCTATATCAGCTAGTAGTCCCCGTCGGGGGAGGCGATGGTTAGGCATGCTCAGCACGTGACCTAGCCATCTCGATCTATGTAACTTTATAGCCTCGTCGATTGATTTTCCCTCTTTGCCCAACACTCTACACCTAACGTCAACAATACTTACCTTGTTAAACCACCTAACGTGAGAAAGAGATCGCAGACATCTATGATCGAAAGCAGTCAACCTTTTCATGTCTTCAACTCGTATTGGCCATGTTTCAGAGCCATAGAGAAGGATGGTGTGAACTGCTGAGCAGTACACACGTCCCTTGGTTGATAGCCGAATGTCACGCCTACGCCAGAGATGGCGAAAGCAGCTCGAACTTTTTGGATCCGTGCTGAGATTTCGTCGCCAATCAGTCCATTGGTGCTAATACAACTTCCCAAATAGGTGAAGTGGTCAACACGCCCAGCTACCACGTCACTCCCTATCACTAAGCTAGGAGTTGACGTAGTCCAGTCCTGTAGCAGCATCTTACATTTTCCAGGGGCGATTCGCATGCCAAACATACGAAGATTGCTGCTCAAGGTGTTCAGAAGACTCTGCGTTTTGTCAGCATCCTCCCCTAACAGGACGCATTTGTAATTCGCATACTAATACTAATTATACATAAAGGAACATAATGAATATAATTTATAGATATTATAATAATTACTAACCTGAATTCGCAATTGTAGGTTGCACTTTTTGGGCAACCGGTGTTGACTGAACGCATAATGCCGGAGGTTGGTTTACCTTACTTGAACTGACAAAACAAAAGGTCTGAAATACAGAAAAAAGATGGTGTGTATTAACAACATAAACACCAAAGGTTGGGGAAGTTAATAAAAAAGTAAGAGGATGATAAGGACACTTGAAAATTATTTCCACTACCTCTCACATAAACAATTAATTTCAATATCAATATAAAAATGGAAGTATTCAGCATTCTCCAAGCATACACGACTGATTATACATTAATAAATTTTCATGAGAACTTGAATTGAAAACAACAGACTAATATGGATAGTAGAGTTATATCAATTAGCTTAACAGCCACATTGAACAGCCGATCGATCAATAAACTTTGACTTACACTTATGAGTTCCGTCTCGTTAGTTGAATAAGAAAAGGAAAACCGTACAACTGAAAATTAAGGATCCTAAAACATAGTGTCGGCAAAAAAACATCGAAGATTTATAGGCGGAAACCAACACATCGGAAGAAAGGGAAGTGAAAATAAGACGCCATGTAAATGTGCGGAAGATGGAGATGATGAAGATATTCAGCAAACAATAACAAACACCAACCACCACCGGTGGGATAAATCTAAAGGAAGTCACCTCTTTAAATTATCTAACCTAAGCAGCACCGTTCTAATTACAGATGGTAAAGATGCGGATGTCAAAGCAAAAGAGAATCAGAAAATCAAGACAGATGTTCATTGCTGTAAAATCAATGTGGAGATCGACAGCACTTAGTACAAGAAACAAGATCCAAACACTTATCACCAATGTGAAATCGATGCTTTCATATGGTCCCAAGAATCGGTGTCCACGTCCCCATAAGCACTCCCAACAAACTACAGGCTTTCATCGACACCTATCATTGCTCAGTACTGAAGATCAGAGGCCGGCCGAAAGGATAAGCAACCAGAAACTGTCAGTAATCCAACCAATGGCTTACTACCCAACAAATATGCAGAAGGGAGTGGAGATGGACTGGAGATATGCTGAGGTAACCGTTGAGTGATATCACAACGCCAGGCCCTCGAATGGATTCCAGATGGAAAGTAACGAGTTGAGTGCCCGACAGTGTCATGGAGGATATCATGTGGAGAGGAAATGAAAGCCATTGGGTGGTCATGGAACAAACTGCAAATAACAGTAGATAACATAGAAAAGTGGAGACGTGCTGCTGAAGACTCATGGCTCACTCGGAATCCAAGGAACAAATAATATGACATAATAAAACCTCCCGATCGAAAGCTGCTACCTTGACGTGGTGGTCGGGCTTGAACACCGCAATGTTCTATTCAAGCTATACTGGCTGAGACTTATGTCTCTTGAGGTCCTACCATGCCAGAAAGGTTGTTTGGACAGCGGTTAGACAAAAAGCAGCTACCCAATCCAATACTATGATACAAACAAATTCAGAAAATATCATGCCGGATAGATCGGGGCCCGGATTAACAACGACCGCGCTTCTTGCTGCCGTGTCACAGGGCAGAAGTGATAAATATACTACTGAGACACACCAAACAATAAAGAACGAACAAAAACAGGCCGCGTGTGACCGGCCTCAAGCAGTTGTCCCCTGGGCTCTGCGGTCACGCAACCAACTTCCACGGTGTGGGCTGCCGGGAAGTAGCAATCGCCTTCACAATCCGAAATGGACACGAAACCTCATGAAATCATTCGACTATTATGTAAAAAATTGGCAAATGAAGAAAAACCGAAGGTCAGAATGATATCATATTAGCTTATTTGTATGCATCATTCAACCATATAGATAAACTAACCCGATTTGCGATAGCACTTTTCAAACTTTCTGGGTTTAATAAATGTGGTAAATGTAATTCAGATGAGTGAGTTGGGTTTGGGGAAAATACAACAGATTGGATAGTAGTTGTAGGCACACAATTTAAACTGGAAGACACTGATGTAGTCAAATGTCTCAAAGGGAACTCATTGACAGTGTCGTTCCGTACCATACATTCCCGCTGACTGGTAACTGCAGTAGAAGTAAGTGTCTCATTCTGTGATATCAACGAATTATCATTCCTTGTATTACTGTTATTGCTTCCAGTGATGAGACTGCATAGAACTGATTGACGTGATACATTAGGCTGTCATATAAAAAAACACATGAAAACAGAATGAAGTTTAGGCGGAATAATTAATTTGAATATTATTTCAACTAATTATTATTGACATCACCAATACATATCTCCAGCTTTCCACAACACCAAAAAATCGGTATTCATATCTCGCATACAAAAATGTTAATTTGCACTACACTGCCATTGAAGTTTTGCCCAAGAAACAAATAAAAAACTAGTCAGAACATGAATATGACAATTGTATGGAATGTCGCGCACCACTTAGTTCATTAAATTAGGCAACTCGCCTATCTGAATATTACTTCAGTGATTAAGGTCATATTATTAACGCAATCCGAATTAGTTTGAGTTACACAACCTAAGGGAACTTAGATATAAACGTTTCATGCCAATGAGGACAATCAATCTATCCAATTTCCTAGGAAATTTTTTAGCATCAGTTCATCCTCAAAATCTACAATGAGTCAATATCAGCTGATGCAGTTATACAAGAAAAGTTGATATAAAGACAGACAGTACAGTCAACTTACTCGCGATTTTCCCAATTCATTGTTAACTGTCGGTTTAGGTAAAATAAATAGTGGACTAGGGAACAATCCACCTGATCGATATCCACAACTACTAGTAGTAGTAGTAGTATTAATAATAAGTGGTTTATTGCTTAAACTGGATAAATGAGACCTATTTCTAATCTCCGGTGATGGAATTAACATAGGTGGTGGTGGCCGTGGTGGAACAGTAGCAGAGTGTAGTTGCTTCCCATTTTGATACTGGTTCACGACTCTACTTGTAAATACATTTCCTGGAAAATTTGTGACACCCTCTGTTAAAGAATTGGATGTTTCAAACAAACTTTGTTTATCAATCGATGTATTGAAATGCATCGGGAATAGTGCTAGATCCCTTGGAGGAAATAAACATAACTAAAAACAAACAAACACAAACAAAAATATACACTAAAAAAAATAAACACGAAACATAATTCTTTCATAAAATTTTAATCACTTAGCTTTCAATTCGAATTCAAAAAATTTATATACTTATGGTTTGAGAAATCAGGTGGTAGTACCACTAGTGCTCATAATATAGTGAGTACAAAAACCCATACACAAATGAGAAGTTATCAGGAGACTCTCTGCTTTTACTTATAATGACATAAAGTAATGTAATATAATGACATGAAAAGACTAGCTACCTTTGATCATAGGTGCCTGTGTTCTATTTCCCGTGTAAAGTGGCATAATAAGGTGAGCAACATGGAGGTTAGGCGTAGAGTTCTAGGTAAACAGGGGAAATCAATCGACGAAGTCGTGAAGCTACAAAGACTGAGATGGTTAGGACATGTGTTACGTATGCCAAGCCATCGCCTGCCTCGACGACCAATGTTAGCGGATATAGGGTCAGGCTGGAAAAAAGCTAGCGGCGGTCAAACAAAAACTTGGCATCAGTCAATGAAATCCACAACAGTTGGTCTTAGCCACGTAGGAAGGTGTAGACTTCCAGGCTGGGGTCCTCGGGACGGCAAAAATCTATGGTTGGAAACAATTGGTGACATGGCTCAAAATCGTTCTCAGTGGCGCAGATGCATCCACTCCCTGTGACTTATGATCTTCAATGAAATTGTTTTGTATTTCTTTATTACTCCTTTGTCTCACACCTCTGCTCACTGTTTCTATTATGCTTTTCTTGTACTTTCTTCTCTTGCTTCGTGTGCTACACGGAATGTGGCGACTTGAACTTCCGCACATTTGTGCAAAGTTCTATGTCGAAACAGACAGACAGACAGACAGAAAGTAGGCTTTTATATTCATAAGTATTGAATGCTTTATCTACACTGCGATACAAAATATATGCACCACTAAGCTATGCTTATTACATTTCAACACAAATAAGTACACGAAATAAACAAACTATGAAAGCTAAATTATGAAGCAGAGAATAGCTTATAACTTTTTTTTCTTTCCTTCACGTTCCCAGCGGAACATAGGGCTTGAATTTTCTGTAGCAGTGTTTATTTTACAGGATGGGGTTGCTAACCCCATGCTTAACCTTTCCTCTTTACCAGGATTATTTCTGGCTTAGCGAGGTAAAGGAGTGCGTCTGTGGCCGGGGATCGAGCCCCGGACTATGTGCATGGTCGGCGAGCGTCCTAACCGCTATGCCACCGACGCATAACTTATAAGCTTATAACTGACATCTTCTAAATATACAATATACCGAAGTGGAATTCAGAAAGTTATTTATTTGCGAATAACTACTTCAAAGGCAGGCTACGATTCACCTAAATATGAGACTGAATAATGTGCAATATTAAATCGACAATATTGAGTAGCATGACTTTCCACAAGAAGCTTACAAATATGCCTGTCTTGCTGGCAAATGCTAGAGAGTACATAGCCTAGATGTAAGGCTTTGCTATGTCGACTGATTTTTTTTAATACTCGGTTTATTCTTACACAGTGTGGCAACCGAAATAAATGCCTAAAGCATAGATGAACACTGATTTCAAATTACCAATCATCCATTCATGAGACTGAGATAGCATTATGCCACCAAATAACGATTGTAAACCAGTGGGTGTTGTATTCTTAATAAGAATAGTATTTCCATCTGAAAACACTATGAAACGATATATAGCATAACCTGAATACTGTAAACAGAGTCAGTATGGAGTCCAGTTTTGAAATAATAAAGAGAATTTGTACCTCAGGAGGGTGTTTTTGTTATAATTGTGCCTTGAACTGGATGGGGTTTAACTACGGAAATTTCGCTATCCTTCTAGACAATATTTTTAGCGCCAGCTTCAAAATGACACTAGGTAATCCAATTTACTGATTACTCAACAAACACAGAATCCATAGATTCAGGCATCTTATTTATTAGGAGTCACACAATCATTTGCATCAATACAACAAACAACAAAACATAGTTAATTCAAATAAAAAATTTTGAAAAGAAGAAGCCAACAGTACTTTAAAAACTGTAATAAAATAAAACAAATACAAGATTAACTTGAAAAAGTTACTTCAACAATGAGAGTAGTCTGATTAAACTTTGAATGTCAACACATGCAGTGACAATTGTGATTTCAAATATTCATTAACACTATGGTAATTCTGATTTCGATGAAATCCGTCTGTAAATGGTTGAATCGACGGTGGATATTCCATAGAAAGGTGTGGGAAAAATTGTTCAGATGCAACTGTGTCACTCCAAGAGGAAGGGAGGAAATCGGTCAACGTCAACAAAGATCCAGGAAAAACCTAAAATGCACAAAAAAAACAAGTATATATAAAGTAAGAATGTCTTTCTACTTTATGCATTATGAACTTCTTCCTACATTACTTTCAAACTTTTGTCCCAGAAGGTAGTGAAATGCAGCATGATATAGTTTCCTCCTGATGAACCTGAATAGAGCAAGGACAACAAATTGAGGGGAATAACATACCGTTATTTCATTTTATTGGATCTTGTCAAACGCACACACAGCCTAAAACAGTTTTAATATCAAATATTCAAATACTTTAGTTATCGATTATGCAAGTGAGGTCCATTAAGAGTATGCAATTGAATAGCGTAATAGAAAGGATAAAAGTTGCTGTTGAACTTCTTAGTGTATATACAAATTATTACAATAATATCCTAGAGTAAGGAGGAATAGAGGTTGGAAATTGATTAGACGTGCAAAATCGATAGCACATCTACTTAAGGGTTATACAATTTATAAGTATTTGGTTGAACAGAGGTGAAAAAAGTCAGATCAAGAGCATAGACAAAATTAAGGATGCAAAATTGCACTGTCAAAACAAAATATATTTAAAATGACAAAATACAACAAAATTCAAATAACACTACATATATTCACTATGATAGAGAAAGATTAACGAACGTTTTTTCCTTCCTTCTTCTCATTTTTCACGGTTTAATGGCTACTGCTTCAGAAATATGCAGTAAACTGCAACTAACCTGAACTCAAAACAAGCTATCTTAATACAACTTTTTCCTAATCCCCATTTATCAGGTGATGAGCAATCACACTACTGAAGCATTTTTCACCTTTCAGCTGCAAGTTTCTTGGAATGCGCTCAGACATGAAATCACAAATCTTTTTGTTCGTTTGATATATGTGCTACTTAGTTACATTATATTAATGGCCTTTACTTTTGAACACAAATGTGTGTTAGCTTATTCACCTCAAATGTAGAATCCCTCACAGATATATTGTATTATTAGGTCCTCGTGCATACAAAGTCTATTTAAAAGCACAATGTGCCGATGTGACATTTTAAAAAAATAATCCAATTCTGGTAAATAATACGAAGAAATCTAATAAACAAAAAAAATAACTCACCAATTTGATAATTCCAGTGGAATTTTGATTTGCTTTGAGATTGTTCAATGTAGTATTCAGCACAGACACACTTGATCCACTTAAATCAATAAGTGATATGCAAGACTGTATTACATCATTTGATGACTTTGTCAAAGGTATACCCAAAGGAAAACGAGGTGGCATATAAGTTCTAAAGAATACATGTGTAACACAGTCGTTTACATCTATTGAAATAGTTCTCATGTAAGACAATATACCAGCTTGATGTAAATAGCCGTAGAATATAATCAAGGCAGACTGATGAATTATCCACAATATAGAAGAGATGATACAAAGACAAGAAAAGCGTCTTGTGAACCTTGCTTTACCATCTATACTTTGACCAATTACAAAGCAAGCATAGGGTAAGCATGGAATAAGAAAGCGTGCCTCTTGATGAGGTATTAAAGACAAAATTAATGTAGGGAACACTACACTAACCCAAGCAACACACAATGTTAGCGAACGAGATTGCAAAGGTTGAGTAAATAGTCGAAGTACAAAAATCGGCCCCAGTATTAAAGGCCAGTTAACAAGAAAGTGAGTGAACCGAGGATGTAAGCCATGCGACGAAACATGTTGTGTATTGGAATTATAAGCGAAAAATCGACAAGGTGTACAAATCAGTGGATATTTCGAGATACCAAGATGAAAAATATTTGATACACTTGTATTGTGAAAGTATAGTGTGTCTATCAACACACAAACAAAGGTATTACATAAAATAACAAACACAATAATAGGTAGACGAGTAGCAATAAAAATGATTTTAAATTTTGCGACTAAAAATACTAGTTCAATAATCCCTATAGGAAGGATGAACAGTAGATAAGTAGGGCGTAAAAAGCTAGCCCATACAATAAGTGAAGATTGAATGCATATAAGAATAGTAATGAAATATTGTTTTCCTTGTAGAACATCAGATCTCTTTATATGATTCAGTATTTCAAAGAATAATAGACCAAATACAGAGACATAGATTGACTCCCATGTATTAACAATTGTACGAGTAGACAATAGAATTCCACCGAATGCACATGATGCATAAAGCAATGATGCAGTTGGCACAGAATTATATCGGATAAAACTCAAGAAATGCTGAACTCTTGTTAGCTTTAATGTACGCGAATGATGAATGTGCATGCAAGAAGATAGTATGAACATGTCTATAAAAAGTGAACCGAGAGCGGTAGCCAACCGAGAAGGTAGTAAAACACGATTAATTAAATCAGACCCACTATAATGAGTGTTTGCAGCTGAAAGTAGACAACGAAATGGTTTTTTTTGAATGAACATGATTACGAAAATAAACAATATAAAAAAGCATAGCAAGGAAAATACTTCAGCTGTATGATACTATTTTTGTACTGTTGCAGTTCTAGACATATTCTATCAAACTTAAGCCTATTCTTGAGGTTCAGCTGTTTGACACGACCTGGACGGCAGTGACCACTTAATTCAAAGATGTATATTGGTGACCACACAAGTGTGTTAAAGATACATTCAATTACAACAGTGATGATGTGGTGAGAGCTGGCTGTTAGTCAAAATAGGTGGACAGTAATTTACGTCAGTGTTTATGTCCCCAATATTGGTCATGAAAAAATGAGAACAAATGCTTTGCGTAGGCCGATACAGTTAACATATAGATGATCTGACATTCAAGAAACAGCCATAAAGAGATGTAAGGTTAACTTTCTGTGAGAAACAACCAACCAGAGGACCGTGTTTTTCTGCTAACAATAATCTATAATATGTACATGAAAATCTATAAATATGTTGATTTCCTTAATAAAGGATCTGTATCCTGGCCCTTGTCTTCTGTTGTTACAATAATAGTGCTCTTCAGCTTTAAAGAATAGTGTAGTGTATAAATGGCACTGACTTTAACTGCAGTGACTTATCATCATCAGTCGACATAGATATTATAATTTATGTAGCCAAGCATCACAAGCATCAGTGTTTACCAAACACTAAACACACTTTGAGTATACAGAAAATTCACGCGAATTATCGCGTATGAAAAATATTAGACACAAAGAGGGAACACAACTTTATACTGAAAAAAAACTTACATCTAGAACTAATTCTATCTGCAATCCATTTATAGATCACAACTGGAATATGTACAAATGGTGACATCCCAGCCACAGATCTTACAGGACCCATATTATTCACTTTGAACTCCCATGTTCTCATTACTTTCAAATTATAAACATCACCTGCTGCAATCTCAATACTTTGAAAATATTCATCAGGATGTAAATAACCAGACTGCAAATCGAAGACAAATATAAAACGTAAGCATAAAAGCACTACGTAGATAATCCAGCCAAAGAGACGATAGTTGACAGACAGCTAAAATTGTGTATAACACATAAAGAAATAACTTAGATGAACCCTTTTTGTCAAGTTGTTTTAGAGATAATGAAAAGTGACAATTAACTGTGAATATTATTTTCCCAATGAAAAAAATGAAATACAAAAAGTATTTTATCGTCTATTAAAGATTCAAGAGAACATTAATAAGCAGAACTGATCACAATGTGGATTCAGCTTTACATGCAAGATGAATAGGTGTTTTTAATGAATCAGCACACTTCAGTTCATCCAACTTGGTTGCAGACTGTAAACAATCTCCTTGACCTTCATCTTTTAACTTTAGTTTTATACAATGATCATTAGCTTCAATAATTTGGATAGTATGTTCATTATTGGGATGAGGAAGAATACGCCAAACACTTGGTGTTTCTAACGTGGAGTGAATTGACCTATAAGAGAAAAATATAAAAGAAAATACTTAGAAAATGTACAAGTGGTATGGCACATATTGATTCTCAAACAATAGGGTTGTTGATTACATTTACAGCTGGAAATCATATTCATAAAAATATAAAGACATCTATTATTAGAAAATATTACACCGTAAGACTATCTGTCTGTCTGTCTGTTTTCGACATAGAACTTTGCACAAATGTGCGGAAGTTCAAGTCGCCACATTCCGTGTAGCACGCGAAGCAAGAGAAGAAAGTACAAGAAAAGCATAATAGAAACAGTGAGCAGAGGTGTGAGACAAAGGAGTAATAAAGAAATACAAAACAGTTTCATTGAAGATCATAAGTCACAGGGAGTGGATGCATCTGCGCCACTGAGAACGATTTTGAGCCATGTCACCAATTGTTTCCAACCATAGATTTTTACCGTCCCGAGGACCCCAGCCTGGAAGTCTACACCTTCCTACGTGGCTTAGACCAACTGTTGTGGATTTCATTGACTGATGCCAAGTTTTTGTTTGACCGCCGCTAGCTTTTTTCCAGCCTGACCCTATATCCGCTAACATAGCTCGTCGAGGGAGGCGATGGCTTGGCATACGTAACACATGTCCTAACCATCTCAGTCTTTGTAGCTTCACGACTTCGTCGATTGATTTCCCCTGTTTACCTAGAACTCGACGCCTAACCTCAATGTTGCTCACCTTATTATGCCACTTTACACGGGAAATAGAACGCAGGCACCTATGATCAAAGACAGCTAGTCTTTTCATGTCTTCCACTCTCAGTGGCCAGGTCTCACAACCATAAAGGAGGACGGAGCGGACTGATGAGCAGTACACCCGCCCTTTGGTCGATAGTCGAACATCTCGTCTACGCCAGAGTCGGCGTAAACTAACAAATGCGAAACGAGCCCCTTGTATTCGTGCTGAGATTTCGTCAGAGATCAGCCCGTTGGGGCTGATGGTACTTCCCAAATAAGTGAAGCGGTCAACGTGCTCTACCACTTCACTTCCTATTTTTAAACTAGGCGTCGATGTAGTCCAGTCCTGTAACATCATCTTGCATTTGGCGGGAGCGAATCGCATGCCAAACATTCGTAGATTGCGGCTCAAGGTGTTTAGAAGACTCTGCATTTCGTCAGCGTCTTCGCCTAGAAGGACTATATCGTCTGCATATTCCAAGTCAACGAGATTATTCCCTGGTAGCAAGTCAATCCCTGAGTCGCTGAAGTCACCTAGGGTTAAGTCCATTAACACATCTATGATGAAGTTGAATAGAAAAGGAGATAATGGGCATCCTTGACGGACACCACTGGTCGTCATCAGTTCAGATGACAGCTCGCCGTAAGCCCTCACCTGGCTGTATGAGTACGAGTAGAGTGCCTTAATCAGTGCAATATATTTTCTTGGAATTCCCTTTACAGCCAAGCATCTCCAGAGAACTTCCCGATCGACAGAGTCGAATGCTGCCTTTAGGTCAAGAAATATAATGACTGTTGGACGCCGGTAGGAATGCCTATGTTCTAGAATCTGTCGGAGGGTGAAGATATGATCAATACACCCTCTTCCTGGTCTAAAGCCTGCCTGGCTCTCTCGTGTTTGTGCTTCCCGAGCACCACTCAGTCTACGCATGATTATTGAGCCTAAGACTTTAGATACTATATTAGTCAAGCTAATCCCTCTGTGATTATCACAGGAAGACTTGTCTCCCTTCTTGTATATGGGGATAATCAGTGACTTACACCAACCCGATGGGACTTCTTCTGATTCCCAGACGCTGCCTAGTACCTCAGTTAATCCGGACAGTAAGCTGTCTCCACCGTACTTAAATACCTCTGGCGTCATTCCATCAGGTCCCGCTGCTTTGCCTAGTTTCAGATTGGTGACAGCTTTAGTAACCTCAGTTAGTGACGGAGGACCTGTGTCTATATCCCATTCAGGGAGGTGTTGGATGCTCGGAAGGTTGAGCGTGGCTGTGGGCAAATTAAACTGCTCCTCATAATGCTCTTTCCAACGATCCAGTCGTCTATCCTGTGAGCTAATTATAGTGCCATTTTTTTCCGAGATTGTCTCACTGATGATTTGTCTTCTCCCACCCGTTTCCCTGATGAGTCCAAAGAGTTGCCTGGTGTTGCCTATCCTCAAAGCTTTCTCCATCTCTTTGGCTTTTGTCGCCCACCACTGTTCACGGTCCTTGCGGAGACTTTTCGTAAGTTTCCTCTTGTGCAGCTTTCGCTCCTCATTGAATTCGGAGCTCGCCGGAATAAGTCTTCTAGCATCTATCAGTTCGGATGAGGCGGTGGAGATCCAGTGGTTTTTACTCACCTTTGGGTTTACCTTATTCACAGCTTTTACAGCTGTATCTATGGCTGCCTGGATATTTTTCCAAGCTTCTTCAGGGTGAGCACAGCTGTCGAACACAGATATGTGTTTAGCTAGTTCTTCCTGAAATACGGATTTAGTTTCCTGATCGAGCTGGGGACGTGATGGTTTTACCGCCAGCTGTTTCCTACGTCCGTTCAGTCGTAAGCACACCCGAGCGCGGACCAGTGCATGGTCGGTATCTACGCACGTGTTCCAGAAGGAGCGACAATCTCCTACCGACCCACGCCAACGATAGCTTATTGCTATGTGGTCTATTTGTGTCCAGCGTTGGTTTGATGAAGGGGGTCTCCAAGTCAAACAGTGTCTTTCCTTGTGTTTAAAGTTAGTGCTTACAAGAAACAAATGATTATCAGAGCAGAACTGTAGGAGACGGTCACCGTTGTCGGTTCGCTGGCACGGAGCTCCATAGGTGCCACCGACATCCTTCTCAGATTGACACAATTTCCCTACTTGAGCATTAAAGTCACCAGCTAGAACGACTATGTCTGAGCGTTTAGCCTTTCGCACCAAACTAGACAGCTTTTGGTAGAACTCATCCTTCGTTTCATCTGAACTGCAGTCAGTGGGGGCGTAGGCGGAGATTACGAAAAGGCATCGGCGAGTAGTGCAGTCCTTTCTCCTTCTTACTGATCCGTTCAGGCGGACAGCACACATTCGGCTATCTACCGGGATCCAGTCAAGCAATGTCTTTTCTGCCCTAGTACTCAAAGCTATCCCTACGCCAGCTAATCCTCGTGAACTAGCTGTGGCATCTCCTGACACCCTCAGGGTGAATTTTGCAGATTCAACCTGTTGGCCAGGTGGGGTTAGGTGAATAACCACACTTGGGTCTTGTATGCGTGTTTCTGAAACACAGCATACATCACCGTAAGACTATACATATTATCTACACTGACCATAGGTATTATCAAGGCTTCTATCGAATTTCGAAGCCATTAAAATAAGAATTGTTGATAGAATTGTATCAGTAGTTAGAACGAAACAATCAAGTGGGACACATAGTTTGATTCAAAATGTAGGATGTTCGGATCACAAAATGTAGCCTGTCTGAAACAAGTAAATGTGAGTGTGAGAGTTCCGGATAAACGAACTGGCACTGAAGTGGAGCAGTTCAAGTTGTCACTTCACGCAGCACACAAAACAAGAGAAGAGAACAAAGAGAGGTCCAAAGGAGTGACAATAAACAGAAGTGTGAGGGAAAGCAATGCTAATATGGAATAACAATACAGTTTTAGTGGATATGATGACAAATCACAAAGAGTGAATACATCTCCGCCATTCGCAACGATGATTTCCAGCAGTATCACCAACTATCTCCAGATATTGGTGTTTACCATCCCGAGGACCCCAACCAGGAAGCCAGCTTAAACTAACTGTTGTGGATTTCATTGACTGATGCCACGTTTTGGCTTGACCACCACTGGCTCTTTTTCAACCTTACCCTATGTCAGCTAACATTGCCCGTTGAGCAAGGTGATGGCTAAGGATACATTCATGGCCTAACCATCTCAATCAATGTAACTTCACAACCTCATCGATTGATTTCCTCTCACCCACCTAGCACTCGACTGAGGCCTAACCTCAATATTGCTTACCCTATAATGCCACTCAACACGGGAGACAGTGTGGTGAGAGCTGGCTGCTAGCCAAAGTGGTAGGCAGTAGTTTACGTCAATGTTTACACGTCCCAAATATTGGTCGTGAGAAAACTAAGAACAAAGACTGATTCAACAAAAAATCACAGCAGACTTTGCGTAGGCGGATACAATTTGCAGATAGACAATATGAACTTCAATAAGCAGCCACAAAGAGATGAAAGTTTAACGTTCAGCGAGAAACCACCAATCAGAAGACTGTATTTGTATGCTTACAATCATCTACAATAATGTACATGAAAATCTTTGAATATCTGTCGATTTCGTAAATAAACGATCTGTTTTCTGGCCCTTGTCTTTTGTCGTTACAATTGGACACAAGCACCTATAATCAAAGACAGACAGCCTTTTAATGTTTTCCATTTTCAATCAACAACCATGTCTCATAGAGGAGGATGGAGCGGACTGCTGAGCGGTATACACGTCCTTTGGTCGACAACCAGCCAGATATTACGTCTACGCCAGAGACTGGCATATGCGAAACTAGCCTTCTGTATACGTACTGAGATTTCGTCAGCGATCCATCCGCTGGCGTTGGCTGATGACACTTCTCATATAAGTGAAGTGGTCAACATGTCCTACCACTTAACTCTCTATCTGTAAGCTATGAGTCGATGTAGTCCAGTCCTGTAGCATCATCTTACATTTGGAGGAAACGAATCACATGCCAAACATTCGTAGAATGGAGCTCAAGGAGTTCAAAAGACTCTGCTGGATTTTGTCAGCGTCTTTACCTAGAAGGACTATATCATCTGCGAATTCTAAGTCAACAAGTCAATCCCTGAGTCGCTGAAGTCAGTTAGGGTTAAGTCCATTAGTACATATATGGTGAAATTAAATAGAAATGGGGACAGTGCGTATCCCTGGTGGACACCACTTCAGATGAAAACTCTTCGTAGGCTCTCACCAGACTGCATGAGTTGGAGTAAAGTGCCTTGATCAGTGAGACATATATATATATATATATATATATATATATATACATATTCTCAGCATTCTCTTCACAGCCCAAAATCGCCATAGTACCTCTCAGTCGACGAAATCGAATGCCACTTTCAGGTCCATAAATATGACGATTGTTGGACGGACACCGATAAGTATGTTCCACAATCTATCGAAGGATGAAGATATAATCAATACACCCTTTTCCTGCAATAAAGCCTGCCTGGTTAGTGCGTGTTTGTTTCTCTCGAGCACCACTTAGTCTACACATTACTGAGCCTAGAACTTTAGGTACCAAATTAGTCAATAGATTTCATCAGTAATCAGCCCATTGGGGCTAGTACAATTTCCCAAATAAGTGATTTGGTCAACACACTCGGCCACTTCACTTGCTATCTTTAAACCGACAGACCAGTCCTACAGCGTATTAAACTTGACAGGCACTAAGTGCACAACAAACATACGAAGACGAGCACCCACTTTGCTGAGCAGAAGCTCGGGATGTTCAGAAAAACGACCGCTTTTCAGTTGTTGCTTGTTTGAAATTTTGTAACATTCATGAGGTGGATTTCGTGAATTCACCACGTTGGTCAAAGTGGGGTTAAGTAAAAAACCACACAGGTCTGGCATGTGTGATCCTAAAGCACAATATACATCCACAGCTGCAGACGCTAGAGTTCCAGCTAGTAAGTACAATTGTCCGATTTGGCACTAGGTCCGGATGATGCTGAATCCTCTGATATAAGGTTACCGCTGTGCTTTTAGGACTGCTTTTCCAGCTCTGGTAGTAAAGTCAAGAGAAGGTGGCGAACCTATCTTTGGAATAGTGTTAACAGTGGCAGTAAAGCAAGTAGATGAAAGTGTATACGAATTCGGAAAGCTTTGTATGTGCATGAAAATGTGTACGCGGTTATTACTTTCCAGCTGCTCACGCCGCGGAAGTTGAATTCTTCTTGAAATCTCTGATACAGAAGGAGCAGTATTGTTGTGCAACCGCAGAGCCTGAAGGACAACTGCTCGAAGACGGTTACGCACGTCTTGTTTGAGCTGGTATTTGGAATTGTCAGTAGAAGACATTACTAGTGCCTATGGACCACGGAGGGGTAAATCGTGACGTACAATTCCCAGAGTCGGCCTTTACTAAACCCCACTCTTCGCGGAAGCAAGGCAGCATAGCTGGCATGCTGGTTATGAGTGCGACACTAAACTGCTGTTGCATCTCTGTTCTCAAGCAACACAAGTTCATCATAGCGTGGGTGACTTAAACGATGACGCTAACTGCTTTTAGTCTAACTGCTAGCTGAACGACCTCTCTGACATTCGAGAAGCTGGAGGAATATTCTGTCCGCCGGTGCAGCCCGTTCAGTCATTGAGATATGCAAGCTCGACCACCATACCGAGGAAGCAGCTATCGGTTGGGAAAACTGGTATTAGAATCCGATTATTACAAGTACCAATCTAATAAATGGAAGCTGTACATTTTTATGGTAAAACGAAACCTAGAAAATTTATACCAGAGCCTATAGGATCGTCTAAATATTTAAGAAATTTAAACAAGCAAAACGGAATAAGACGGATGGAGCAAATAGCGTAAAACACTAACATATAAGCAAACATTAATTTTTATGAGAACAATAAGTAGTGACAAGAAACCAACTAACATTTCATATTTGACTTTGGACACTGGCTTTTAAAAAAATTCAATGTAAACGTTTTTTGGTGCTAGACTATATTTATTAGTTAGTAAAAACTTAGTTAACCGGACCAGACTTAAAATGTGTTGGGCTATGAGCTACACTTATGGTGTGGGACACGACGATGCTACCTACCAACACAGGTTGAAGTATGCGGAGAGAGATTAAGTCAGGACCCGTCAGTCGAAATCCAAACGCTCAAGCTAGTGATCTCCGAGAACAACCACGTGAAAAATGCACCTCCATCATATTTAGTTAAGATAGGATTCTTATAATTATATTCATCCAAATGAATGTAAACTATGTAAAACATTTGGTAAGCCTGTGATTGAATGATATAAAAAACCGGTAATCAGGTATACTTAAATACAACTTTAGGAATCTATTGATTACTAACACACAAGCAAGCCATCAATAAAGGACAAACCTTAAGACAATCGTTGGAGGGTAGAACTCATCGGTTGAAATTTTAGGCTCTGGTGGAAGTGATATACCCAATTTTTCACACAAGATTCCCATCACCGTGTCAGCCCGCGCATTAATGTTTAGGGTCGCATATTTGGCTAGTTTTGTAGGCTGTAAATTAACAATGACTAATTTCGGGCTAATATTCTCTGCGAAATCTCCCTTTTTGTGATCACTTGAATCGGAAGAACTACAGTTATTGCTTCTTCTACATCTTGCAGTTCGACGAAGATTTAAGAGTGGGAGACCTGCAGCCGGGAACATTTGTAACGACGATCCAATACATATATGAAGATCAGCCTTTCTGTAAAAAAATGAGAAGTGTACAGCTTAACTCAGACATATAATATTACATTCGTACAACAGCACTTATAAGTTTCATAACTCACTTTGAATGTTCTATTGCCAGATTATAATCTAATTCTGGAAGATCATCTTCCCAATCAAGAATAGTATCATGCAGTTTGCCCCTATTATTAACACTCTACACATTTATATAAACACACCTGCAATACCGTTTATTTGGCTTAGAATAGGTGCATGAAACCGATGTTTGTCGCAAACCTATTGTTTCAGAAGGTGTTGAACGAGCGTACATGGTTCCGCAAGAACGACATGATTCAAGAAACATGTCCCCATGTAAAATAGCTAGACGATCTCTTGGGAAGCCAGATCTTAAATGTAGTCCATCGATATTTTGAGTGACTAAAAACTTAATCAAATCTGGCAGTTTAAGGTAAGTTCGCTTGAAAACGAGCATACCATATTTCTCCAACTCAACTAGTGCTCGATGTGCCAAAGAAGGGACAGCCTTTTCAAAAGGAACAGATAACTTTGGTTTTTTTCCTAGCTTATCTAACGTCCACACACCTGCAAAAGAAACTTGTCACATGAAAAACGGACTTACCATTAGGACCTCGGAAGTCTGGTATTCCTACTGAAGTGCTAATGCCAGCCCCAGTGTGTACAACTACATAATTAGACTGGCGAACTAAACTAACAAGTTGGTCGACTTTGAGATTTAACTGATACTCATCATCGAAAATTTCTGGTATCCCGCATACTCCCTTGTTGGGATAATACGATAACTTTGATGCATAATCAACTGACATGTAGAATGTGTTGCCTACAAAGGTAAATAGGAAAATGATCAAAAATAATGATTACAGGATGAAAAGCGTTAGAGACTACGCAAGCTTCATGCTTAACTAGCAGAAGTCTACTTTAAGAATATGTTGGCGATTGCCAGAAGAAATTCACTTTCATAGCAATTTTGCGTAAGATCCGGTTTACCTCTAGGTTTAGATACATGTATCTGGCTAAGGATGTGTGCTTCTTAAAATGTGAAATCTGTCGCAGTATTCATTTTGTGAATCTAAAGAGAACAACAAAATATTTCACAGGATAGAATTCATTTCATATACTCGGTTGCATTCTATTTTAAAAATTAGTGAATGTTAACAAACTATAATTCTGAAGTATGCTTGAACTTCATAAGTCTTTGATGGTTAGCTTATTTTCGTCAACACTGTAAATAAAACTAACACTATGTGGCTGCACAGTGTTGAGGAATGGGAGAATAATGCATTATGCAGAACAAAGAAAATGAAGGAACCACAAGAGAAAAATATGGCAAAGTGAATCAGAAGAGAAATATGAGCGTGAAAGTCACACATGGAAACCACTTTTAAAAGACTCAGTGATATTTCACATAAACCATATTAAACCAAAAAAAATGTTCTCTAACACTGGAAACTGACATACAAAAGAAATCAGTTTATAACGTTATTTTATGAAGTGAAACAGTTGTTTTTCCCTACGATTTACCGTCGTTACCTACTTTTCCTTCATGACGAATTCCCATCTGAACATGAATAAAATCGAGATAAGTAGCTTAGCGAAGAGGCGCTTTCCGACAAATTCATTTTTTTTCAGCTGTAAGATCGCACTGATATGGAACTTCTTCATGTATTCCGTATGGTTGCAGAAAGATAGTAGTGATTATATAAGGGGTGCGATAATCGAACACCTTGTCAACACTGGTCATTTCATCTCAAAAAAACTTACTTCAAAGTAATCCACCAAATGAATAACCTGCCAAAGGAAATACTCTCCCATCTTGATGGTATTAGATGGTTGGAGGCAATCGGCAGGAAGCCTTGGACCTAGGTTTCGTGCTAGTTGGCACTCGTCAGCAAGACGTATCTGCAACCTGATAGAATTCAGTCTACACCAATCAGAGGACTAGACGCATCACACTAGTTACTAGTGTCAAATCAAAAACTCTTCCATCTCCTTTGCATTGCTGAAGCTTTTGCCATTCAGTTAGCAAAACCGCAGCTATGCATACAAAAGAAGATTATTCAACCACTTTTGCTAACAGGGTAACAAGCTTGTTGACTTCTACTGATTTGATTTTTGTTTTGTTTTTAACCCTTTATAACACTTGTATTTCTTTAGAACCTTAAATAACTTTATACTTCCCTTCGTTTCGAGGTGTACCATGATTACACATTCGTTAAATTATCTATCTTATTATGTAACTCTGGAACACTTATTCAAATCCTTTCATGCACTGACTAACATATTAACGACTGTGTTTGTGGCAACTCATCACTTCTGCCTCTACCCTCTTTCATGAAAAAATTCTACATCAATGCGATCTTACAGCTGAAGAAAATTTATCAAAAAGAGCCTCTTCACTGAACCACATGTGTTGTTTTCAAGTTTTTATATCAGTTATATGAAATACTTAGAAGGTGTACTAGTGGTAGTCTTCTTGTATTTCTCAACTTTCCAAATATGAGACGAAAAATAAGAACTGTACTTCCCTTGACTAGATTGTGTTACAGGAAAACAGGAACTGAGACACCAAACGAAATCATCATTTTTCTCTCTTTCATAGACCAATTTAATTTGCGGATAAGAGACTGAAAGTTTCCGAAAGAACCTTGATGTAAAAGCATAATCCATATATTTACAACAGAACGGCAGTTTGTCACTTGTGCATTACAGTGGTCTATTTTATGGCTTCGCAATAACATGTCGATTAAAGGAGAGTACGAAGAAGAAACTGTAACTGATTTTTAAGCTGACACTAGACATTCATCACACTGAAGTAGCAATTGTCGTAAGACTTGCAGTACACGTATCTCCACTTAGTTCGCAAGGCAGTGATTTACAAATGATATCAAAAAGTATCCAATAGGGACCTTAATAGGCAAGAAGTAACACCCAATTTTCTCACCTTTCAGATGGATCTTACGGCATCCTTCATGTCATTCTAAACCACTTTCCGGTACAACAGTCTATCTACTGATCATTTTGCTACTGTATGATATAGTGCGTTAAATATGTTGAACATTAAATTGACGAGTGTCTGTCTGTTTTTGACATAGAACTTTGCACATATGTGCGGCAGTTCAAGTCGCCACACCATGTAGCACACAAAACAACAGAAGAAAGTAGAAGAAATGCATAATAGAGACAGAGGTGTGAGACAAAGGAATAGTAATAATGAAGAATAATATAGTTTCATTGGAAATCATAGGTCGCGAGGAGTGGGTGCATCTGCGTCAGCCATTGAGTACGATTTTGAGCCATATCACCAATTTTTTCCAGCCATTAGTGTTTACTATCCCGAGGACCCCAACCAGGAAGCCAGTCGACATCTTCTTACATGGCTTAAACTAACTGTTGTAGACTTCATTGACTGGTGCCGTGTTTTGGTTTGTCCGCCGCTAGCTCGTTTCCAACCTTACCCTGTCAGCTAACATTGCCCATCGAGGAAAGCGATGACTGGGCATACGTAACACATGTCCTAACCATTTCAATCGGTGTAACTTCATAGCCTTGTCGATTGATTTCCCCTCCTTACCTAAAACTCGACGCCTAACCTAAATATTGCTCACCTTATTATACCACTTAACAGGGGAGACAAACGCAGGCATCTATGATCAAAGACAGCTAATGTCTTCCACTCTCAATGACCGGGTCTCACAACCATAAAGGACGCAGCTGAGCAGTACACCCGCAAGTGACAGCAAGTAGGAACCATAAATTTTACGCAACACACATTGTAAGATACTGATTCCAACGGATTTGAGACGTCTAAAAAGATATAAATAAACAATAAACAATAAACAATAAAATGTCATAGAAAGCTCATATTCCAAAACCTTTGCCAATTTATCTTTACATTTTGGTCCAATATATTTTCAGTAAATAGTTTTTCTCTACGTTCCCATGCTTTTCCGAAGTGTGCTAATTGTCCGTCTGTCTGTTTTCGACATAGAACTTTGCACAAATGTGCGGAAGTTCAAGTCGCCACATTCCGTGTAGCACGCGAAGCAAGAGAAGAAAGTACAAGAAAAGCATAATAGAAACAGTGAGCAGAGGTGTGAGACAAAGGAGTAATAAAGAAATACAAAACAGTTTCATTGAAGATCATAAGTCACAGGGAGTGGATGCATCTGCGCCACTGAGAACGGTTTTGAGCCATGTCACCAATTGTTTCCAACAATCGCCCACACAATCCGAATCCGAGTGTGCTAATTGCTAAAAGTAGCAGCCAAGACTACAACCCATGACAACCAAGAAATTCGTTTCTTAATGACATGAGTACTGTTCAAAAACCAGTCACATCCCCAGCCGTAGGCGTGACATCCGGTTATCAACCAAGGGACGTGTGTACTGCTCATCAGTTCGCTCCGTCCTTGTCTATGGCTCAGAAACATGGCCAATACGCGTTGAAGACATGAAAAGGTTGACTGCTTTCGATCATAAATGTCTGCGATCTCTGTCTCACGTTAGGTGGTTTCACAAGATAAGTAATGTTGACGTTAGGCGTAGAGTGTTGGGCAAAGAGGGAAAATCAATCGACGAGGCTATAAAGTTACATAGACTAAGATGGCTAGGTCACGTGCTGCGCATGCCTAACCACCGCCTCCCCCGACGGGCTTTGCTAGCTGATATAGGTTCAGGTTGGAAAAGAGCCAGTGGTGGCCAAACAAAAACATGGCATCAATCCATGAAATCCTTGACAGTTAAACTGAGTCAGGTAGGGAGATGCAGACTCCCGGGTTGGGGCCCTCGGGACTCTAGGAATCAATGGCTGGAGACAGTAGGTGACATGGCTCAAAATCGTTGTCAATGGCGCAGATGTATTCAGTCTCTGTAATCTTTCATACTCCTTTCTACAATTACCCATTCTGTTTCACTCTTATATTTGTCAAACTCTATTGATCCTCTTCACTCATCTTCTTGTCTACCTTGTGTGCCAATTGGAACGTGGCAACTCGAACTTCTGCACTTCGGTGCCAAGTTCTATGTTGAATCCAGACAGACAGACGTAGACTATTTTAAATTACAATTGGGGTTGACACAGTAAATGGCTCCCAAACGGATGGGATATACTGTTATATCGATGAGCTCATGCAAACTGGTTGGTGAAATTATTTTATTATTTTATTTTATTTTTTATTTTTGGTTACAGCTTGACTCCACACCGTATTTTTGGTACAAGTGTGGAATTTTCAGCGTGGATATCTGTCTGTCTGGATTCAACATAGAACTTGGCACCGAAGTGCAGCAGTTCGAGTTGCCACGTTCCAAATAGCACACAGAGGTAGACAAGAAGATGAGTGGAGAGAATCAATAGAGTTTGACAAGTATAAGAGTGAAACAGAATGGGTAATGGTAGAAAGGAATATGAAAGATTACAGAGACTGAATACATCTGCGCTGGCCATTGACTACGATTTTGAGCCATGTCACCTATTGTCTCCAGCCATTGACGTAGTCCAGTCCTGTAGCAGCATCTTACATTTTTCAGGGGCGAATCGCATGCCAAACATACGAAGATTGCTGCTCAAGGTATTCGGAAGACTGTGTGAAATCTATCAATCATTACCCACATGATAGATCAGACTTTTAAAATAAGAATGCAGACTGTATAGTCTGTTTCCTATGCATCTTAGTTTTAATTCTTTAATCGAATAATGTCCTTTTATCATTCAAGTACAGCTGTTTGGCTGCTCAAGATTACTTATGAAATTGTTTTGATTACTACTCCTTACAGTTCACTCACACTGGATTACTTTAGTGAAACGCACCATGTTGAGTCAGTCAGTTTACATTTGAAGAGATATCCATGGTTATCAAAATCAAGTCAGTGAAAATCCCACAAAAGCTTTGCGGCTGTAACAGTCAAGGAAACCTTAGAAATTGATCGCTGAGTTTGCAGATTTAAAATCATAGGACATGTGATAAAGAACTTGATTGAGTCCTCGTTTAGAAAAAAATCTCGGTGACACTTCTGAAAATTTAGGGATTGCATAGAACGAACTACAAGAGCAGCTCGGACTTTCAGGCAATATCTAACATTTTAAATTATAGGCAATAGACAATTAAAATGATCCAAGAAAAGGATAAACAACGCAGAGCTGCTCAGTAACAGGATTAGTTATTTTTCAGAAACTTCGAGATTAGTTTTGACACTAACGGTCTCCATGGAGGATCTGGGTATTGCCGCACATAATATGTGCAGGAAACATTTTCACCTCTAAGCTTTAAAATGATGGCATGCCAAGTCTTCCGACAAAAATAGTAAACATGAGTGAATAAAGGGTATGACTAATGGGCAGAATTGGTGAATTTCAGTTGTATGGTGTTTGCCCTATTTTGATCAAAATTTAACAATTATTGAACCAATATTTCCCTATGATTTAACCGATACATTAATGTATTACTACCATTTTGCCACTGTCTTACCATCTATACCACTAATTAAGCAACATTCTACCATTTTTATCACTGCTTAACCAAGGCGTGCCCATTACATTACCACTTCCTAAAGATCGCGCCCATTTTCTACCACTATCTGATTATTCTCTGCCTATTTTTGTCCGACTTCATCTATCAAGCGTATAGCATAACGCATGGTCGTATGTAATTTAGTTTTGATGTGCGACAATAATAAATAAACAGTTTAAAAAATGTGCCATTAGTTTTTCACTCCTAAGTTGTATGATACACTAATGTACAAAATTGACGCAGGTGAACTTACATCTAAGGTGCGCGCCTTATCCTAGGACGTCCAGATCCGCATATGAGCAGTTCAAGCACCTATACTCGCCAAAGGACTGAAGGCTTCTACAAATCGTTCAATTCCACAACACTGAATAGCTCCAAAGAAGTATTTATCATGATGATCCAAAAGCATACAAGACTGCGTTATGCAAATCAGCACTAAGAACCATGACTCCTACTCCAAAAACCTGTTTTTCCGGAACACTGTCATGTAGGTCAGACCCTGATAGTGGTAACTCTAATATCCTTCAATTGAATTGTCTTTTCAGTCCCAGCTTCGATAAAACCCCATCATAGACCTTATCCGAGCAGAAGCAACAACATTGTTTATTGAATACCAAACGCAACTGATATAAACAACACGGAGTATCAGAAGCACTCCTGACATTTGAAATTTTATTATTTTTTCATTTAAAAAGTTGATCAATCACCAGTTCGGCAGTAATAAGCAAGCGATACAGTCGTTAGCTCTCGTATTCACATACAGCCTTTCAAACTTGGTTGTGCGCGTTGTTTAAGTTGCAGTGAAACTAGGCTCCTTTACACGAACTGTAGGCTCTCTTGGTGGTAGTAAAATTTGTGCTTGCACAATACTCACCAATGAAACTGAACTTTCAGCGTATTTTAATTTCGTCTCAAGGAATTCAACCAGTCACTCATATCATCAAACGAACTATTGCACAGTATTCTGCAGACGTTATCTGGCATCTCACTAGCTGTTTGAACAAACTGGAAAGGCTTTTGAAGAGGAGAATTGAAATACCATCGGCGTTGCGTTCCTAATTGTCAATGCTTATTCTGCATGTCAATGTGGTTGAAGATTGAACGGTCAATTCATGGTTGTTTGCTCAAAACCAACTTCCCCAATTTTCGCGGAGGCGTCAATACGACAGTCATCGTCTCATCGGTCGCTGTTCAGAAAGAAGTCAGCAGAAAACCGTCAGAAACCTTAGTTGTAACATTGTTTATATGTTGGTGTTACAATAAAGAATCCTCGAGTCACCAATTGGTGTTTTGGTTTATTTGTCCGTTATTACTAAACGTTTCTGAGAAACTGCAAGGAACAGCGTGAGCCCGAGTGCAGCAAGAGCTGGGCATAAACATTTTACGAGACGTGACCGACAGTTTCTGACGGTGAAATAGCTGGTGACAGTTTGGATAGTCACCATTCATCCTTCCTGGTCCCTGTCAAGTCCTCTTTGAACAAGCATTATCTGGAACTTTGTTGGAATTGGGTCAAGTTCAACAATGCCTGGGTCAAAGAAGGGACAGAGCGTCTTGGATGCAAACAGGAAAGTAAGTCATGGTGACTTGTCTGTTACTTGTAACGATGTGTCTGATGTTAAACATGACATGGTTGATGTTACTGTTTCGCCGTTCAGAGATAATAGGAACATCAAACTCCCTAAATTAGAACCACGGTGTTTTGATGGAAACCCGGCTGATTATTTACAATTTGTAAAGGAGTTTGAGATCATGCTGAGTAGTTTTTAATTAAATGATGAATTGAAGTTAATGTATTTGATGAGATATTGCACTGGAGTTGCTGCAAGAGCTATACAGTGCTATAAGTTTATGAAGCCGAAAGAGGGCTACTACGAGGCCATGAGCATACTACGTCAAAGGTTTGGAAGACCTTCGATGATTGTAGGGAAATTATTCGAGGCTGTTAAGGGTAATGGTGGTCAATCACAAGATGACTCCCAGGCACTCACTGAGTTTTTGGATAATTTGCTGAATTACAAGAATGGAATGATTTCGATGAATTGCATGAGTGACCTCAACTCGAGTTTTATACTAGAAGTAATAGCAAGACGCCTACCTACTCGACTACAAAGGAAGTGGTTGAAGATAAGCTCCCGTATAATAATAATAGTATATTCTCATTTTCTACATGAGAGACGCCAGTTTACAGGCATCATGTAAATTTATGTTTATATGAAAATAAATTATTATTATTATTATTAATATGATAAATTACATATACGATTAGCAATCATAATTTATAATAATGTTTTAATAAAATACATATTTTTTCTTACTTGTGTAGGACACACCAAATATACAGGCATGGATAAGCATTATATAATAATAATAATAATAATAATAAATTTGGTTTATGGGTAAGTTACATGGTTGCTGGCGTTTTTGTCTTAGGTCTGTGGGAACAATATGATAACCAGTCATTCAATGGAGCACATCATGAAATATAGGAATATTAACTTCGCATTAACAAAAAAACCCAAGTAAGTTTTGGATGGATTAAAAATACTTGGGAAAAAATAAAGCTTGAAGTAATTCCTAATCTCATTTTTGATTTATATTCAAATTGGGTAATAAGGAAGCTATTTTTACAGATACGATCAGTTATGTTATAAGCTACAATCGTGACGTTGTATTACAAATAGATACTTTTCCATTGGTATAAGAGTATATTCCACAAATGTAATCCAGGTTGCGTCGTGGAGAAAGTTAATTCGTTATTAACCAGGCAACTGAAAGATACGGGACCAATAATGTTTGCAGATCATTTGTCATTGTAAATGGTCAAATATCCACATTATTCATTCTCATTCAAAAAGTCAAATGGAAGCTGAAATGGTGAGAGAAAAAAGAAGACAAACAACAGCAACGCAAAAGAAAGCAACGGGAGTCCTTAAGGAGTGATTAATAAATTTATACATATATATTCTCTGTTTAGTAACTGTGGTTATTTTGGTACACAAACTAACTAGTCCCGTTATGCTAACTTTTATATTATGTGTAAACTAATATTACTGTCCTGTGTAGAAATGTTAATCATCTAGTTCCAATAATATTAAAATTTATAATTGTAGTTTGTTGTAACTACACGTTTAAAGAACTTAAAATATCTATGTAGGGTGAAAAAGAAGGTGTAAGAGTCAGGCGCAAAAGTGCATTGTCATCTTTGAGTAGTCTGGTGACTGAGGAGATGAACACTGGAAGTGTGTTTGCATCGCGCACATTAGCTGGTAGTCTATTCCAAATGACTGAAAACTTATTTAAGAAGAAGTTGTACCGCACGTAAGTCTGACAGTGCTCCATAGCAGCTAGGTTGTGATGATTTCTAAGATTGTAACTGATGACAGCGGTAGGTTTAGTTATTGGCTCGGAGGAATGCAAGAGAAGATTAGTTAGCTTATAGTAAAAGATAAGGTTTAGCTTAAGGCGTCTTTTCCAGAGGGGTTCTAATCTTAGTCTTACGCATCGCTCATGGTATTCCAGACCACTTTCTAAACCAAGAGTTCTTGAGGTAAACTGCCGTTGCACTCCCTCTAATTTAAGCTTGTCATTTTGTCTTAGTCCGCTAAGAATAAACGGGCAGTATTCTAAGATAGGTCGGACACATACTTTGTATAATAAAACCCTAGTTTCACAACAAAAGAAATTGCGTGTTATGCATCCTATCAGCCTTCGCGTTTTACGTCTGGCATAATCAGTCTGTTCAGCGAACGTTAGGTTACTAGAGTATCTAATACCGAGATCTACGACTGAGTTGAGCTTAGCTAGTTTTCGCCCATTTATTTCAAGAGTTAGATCAAGGTTACTGTTGCCGATACAAATCCAGCCGCATTTGTCAATGTTAAAATTTAGACAGGATTCAGCACACCACGTTGCAAGGCTACTTAGTTCAAGATGTATTTTAGTAACCATATCGCTTAATTCATGAGTGTAGCAGGAGTAGACGACTTTGAGGTCGTCAGCATATAGGAATGGTTTGCCTAAGGTGAAGCACTTGCAAATGCTGTTAATGTAGACTGTGAATAAAAGTGGACCTAGGACACTACCTTGCACGACCCCACTTGAGATCTGCCTAGGATGAGACAATACAGATCCAACTTTGGTTATTTGTACCCTGTTGCTTAGAAATGATTTTAACCAGTTCAGTAATGGGTTGCGAATTCCACAAGAGTACAGCTTCTCAAAGAGAATACTGTGAGATACCATGTCAAATGCCCTAGATATATCGAAGTAGAGAACAACGACTAGCTTACGTGCTTCGCGACTACTAGTGATGCAGTTGAAAAAGTCGAAGTGGCAAGTAACGCAGGATCTATTTTTGAGAAATCCGTGTTGAGACCTTGTAACAAGATCTTCCCTAATTAGGTAGTCTGACAATTGATCTTTTACAACTTTCTCCATGATTCGTGAGATAACTGGGGTTATATTTATGGGTCTGTAATTGCGGACGTTTGCCCTATCACCAGATTTGTAATGTGGAATTATGAAGCTAGTTTTCCACTCACTAGGGTAAGTGCCAGTGTCCATAGATATTGAGAAGAATTTAAGAAGTAACAGGGGTATATCACACCCACTGTTTTTGAAAATTATCGAAGCGAGGCCATCCGGTCCCGTACTAGTGGAAGGTTTAAGGCTTTTAATTGCTTGTACTATTAACTGATTAGTGAACACAATGCTTTCAAGGGAAGAGATAGTAAGGGGAGCGGTTTCACCAGGCATATGTGTTTCTAAACTAAAGTTTGCAAACCAATCACTGAAAGTTCACAGATAGTGGCAGGTTCATTGTAGATTACTTTGTCGTGAAGTAAGTATGGGATTTCCCTCGCCGACTGCATTCGTTTTTTAAGAAGTGCCGTTAAGTTATAAACTTTGGAGGTACTTTCAAGTGCCGTTAACTCTTCGTCGAGGTCCTTTTGAGAGCGTAGGCGCTTGATAGATTCAAGAGACTCGTGGATTGAGAGCAATAGTGATATGTCCTTAGTGGAATAGTACTGTTTCTTCAGCTTCCTTAACTTATTACGGTGTGCCCTTGGAATATATTCAGTTCGGTGTCTACTTAATTTCACTATTTTCTTTGGAGCAACTGTATCTAGACAAAGGGTAACATTCCTGTAAAACAGGGTTACTAAGGCCTCCAGGGAGTCAGTGGTAAAATAGTCATCCCATTGACAGAGTCGAATAAGTTCTTGGACTAATCCCCAGTCTGTATATTTGTAACTACGACATATTGTGCTTCCTGAGTCTTGTTTGTTTCCTGTATTTAGTGGTGAGAAAGGCAGAGAGCAGAGTACCATTCTATGGTCACTACTGGAAAATCGATTACCAACATAGGTGGATACTGGGATTGTGTCATGACAAAAAACAAGGTCCAACATGTTGTCACCACGAGTAGGTGTCTGGACGTGTTGTTGCCATCCATAACAGTCTATAGTGGCAAGTAATTCGTCGAAGCGTTGGGGGCCGGAACTAGTTAGCCAATTGACTTCTGGAAGATTGAAGTCCCCTGCAATTATTTTGTAATTAGCACTAAACGAGGATGCGTGTGCAAACGATTTAGCTAATAACGCATCAGTTTCTTTTGTTGAGCTTGGTGCTCGATAAACACAGCCTATGAGAAGTTTGTAC